TATTCTGTTCCCCCACTAGAGTGCAATCCCGGAGGGCAGTCATCACTGTCTTGTCCACTGTGGTGTCTCCAGCGTCTTTATCAGTGTCTGACATATAGCAGGTTCTCAAATATTTATTGAAAGGATAAATCACTAATAAAAACTTTAACTCGGGCTTCTGTGGTGCCTCAGTGGTAAAGAACCCACCCACCAATACAGGAGACGGGTTCATTCCCTAAGTCCAGAAGATCCCCTGGAGAAGGAAATGGCAGCCCACTCTAGTATTCTTGCCTGGGAAATCCTACAGACAGAGGAGCCTGGCAGGCTACAGTCCATAGGGTCACAAAAGAGTTGGACATGACTTAGTGACTTAACAACTCAGTCAACCAGTCCCTGTATTTATGCATGTGAATGTCAAAGGACCCCTCTCTACAGTCGTTCTCAGCCCAGGCTGTTTGTTCTGGTCATCAGAGGGCTTTGAAAACTTCTAATGGCAGTCCCCCATCCAGTTATGTTGGCTTGGGACCTGGACAAAGGGACACTCAGAAATCTTAGCAACAGCTGGAATAAAACTGTACAAGGCAGAAAAGCGAAATCATCCATGTGGGCAACAATGAACCAGGCTCCCAAGAAACCTAGATCCTAAGTCTGAGCCTCTGGCCACACCTCAGCACCAGATGTTCTGCCATTCTTCATGGGTATCTAGAAAAGAAAGCCCTGCCCTGTTCATCCTTGCCCATGCTTCCCACCCACCTGACCTAAGTCCAGTGCAAGGGTTGATTGGGTGTGACTTGAAGGAACCCTTTAGAGGGGGGACATATGACCGTAGCTGTGGTGTGGCAGGGCTGCCTTAGCACAGGCAAGCACTTGGCTCCTGGCCCCAGTGATCAGAGATTGCACCGCCCAGGAAGCAGCCAGGCCATAAAGGGTTGTTGTTTGCCACAAGGCACCTGATATAGGAATTTGCATGCTTTCACCCTATTGGAGGCCAACCTCTTCCCATCTGACCTCAGGGGCCTGTGAGGTTGGGGAATGGGGCAGGATATATACCTCTGTTCTAGACAACACAAGAATCTTTGGGCACTCTAATCCTGTTCCCTCTTATCTCATTTATATGCCATTATTTTAAATCAACTTTATTGTAATTTACATGTAAGTGAGTGCAACTTGATGAGTTTTTGGCAAATTTTTACTCTCCAGTATCTCTGCCACCATCAAGATTTAGAAAACTGTCTGTTTCCTCCCACAGAAGATTCCTTCTTGCTTCTTTGCAGTCTTTCCCACCTTGACCCCAAGCAACAATGATCTGCCTTTGACCTACTGTAGAATTTCATGTAAGTGGAATCATATAATATATACTCCTTTGTATCTGTCTTCTTTTGCTCAGAGTGCTTCAAAAATTAATCCATTTAATTGTCTGATTTGTTTGTTAAGCAGTATTCCATTGTATGGGTTATATTTCACATTGTCTATTCACCATTGACAGATGGATATTTTAGATGTTTCTTATTTGGGGCTATTTTAAGTTCTAAAAAAAAAATTCTGTTCAAGCCTCTGTGTGGAAATAGTTTTTACTTATTTTGGGTAAATACATGGGAGTAGAATTGCTGGATTTATATGCCAAGTGTCTCTGATTTTATAATAAGTTGGCAAGTGATTTTACCCTATTTTGTTCTCTCCAGTGCATAAGAATTCCAGTTGCTCCACATCCTCACCAACTTTTAATGATGTCAGCCTTTTCATTCTAGTGGATGTGTAATGTTATCTCATTTGTATTATTGATTGCATTTCCCTCCTGGCTAATGATATTGAGCATTTTTGTGTGTGCATGTTAGCCATTCTTACAGCTTCTATGAAGTATCTGTTCAAATCATTGGCATATATCTTTTAAATTGGTTGGCCTTACTGAACTGTAAATTTTCTTTGGGTATTCTGGATAAAAATCTTTTATCATATTCATATGTGCACTATGAATGTTTCCCCTCAGTTTCTAGCTTTCTGTTTTGCTTTCTTAAGTATCAAAGAGAAGATGTCTTTAAATTTGATGAAATCCAATTATCAGGGGTTTTATTCTCTTATAATTTGTGCTTTTTGTGTCTTATACATCTTCCCAACCAAATTTCTATTTTGTTTTCTTCTAGAAGTTTTATAGCTTTAACTTTTTCATTTAATTCTATATTTTATTTTGAGTTCAATTTTTTGTATCATGTAAGATGAGGGTCACTTTTCTCCCCTATTAATCCCCCTTCTTTCTGCAGAATTTTCTGGAAGAAACCATATTTTCCCCATTAAATTGCCCTGGCACCTTTGTTGAAAATGAACTTACTATATATAATGCATTTATTTGTTCCATTTATGTATATGTCTATATTTTACACAAAACAACACTGTCTTGATTACTGTAGCATTGTAAAGTCTCAAAATTAGGCAGTTACCCTTTCAACTTTGTCCATCTTTTTCAAAATGGTTTTGACTGTCCTTGGTCATTTGCATTTCTGTGTAACTTTTTAATCAGTGTATCAGTTTCTAGAATAAGCCTGCTGGAACCTTGACCAGTATTTCACAGAATCAGTAGATCTACTTGGAGAGAAATTGGCAGTTTAACAATACCGAGTCTTCCAAACCATAAACATCTTATATATCTGCGTTAGGAGTTTTTTCACAGTCTCTAGGCAGTGTTTTACAGTTTTAGTAAAGAAGACTTATTTATGTGTTGCGCTGTTGCTTCAGTCGTGTCTGACTCTTTGCCATTCTGTGGACTGGGGCCCCCCAGGCTCCTCTGTCCAGGGGATTCTCCAGGCTAGAATACTGGAGTGGGTTGCCATGCCCTCCTCCAGGAGATCTTTCCAACCCAGGGATTGAACCCATGTCTCTTATGTCTCCTACATTGGCAGGCAGGTTCTTTACCACTAGCATCACCTGGGAAGCCAAGTCTTTTCTGTATTTTGTTAAATTTGTCCCTAAAAATTTCATGTTGTGGTGCTACACAACTAATTATATTTATTTTATTTCACATATCTATATTTTAATTTCTAATTGGTCCCTGTTGGGGAAATTTATAGGAAATATGCAGCTTATTGTTGTTCAGTTGCTAAGTTGTGTCCAATTCTTTGCAACACCATGGACTGCAGCATGCCAGGCTTCCCTGTCCACTGTCTCCTGGCGTTTGCTCAAGGTCATGTCCATTGAGTTGATGATGCTAACCATCTCATCCTCTGCTGCCCTTCTCTTATAAAAATACAATTGATTTTTGTTATGTTGACCTTGTACCCTGTCACCTTGCCAGATTAACTTTATTAGTATTAATGGCCTTTTGTAGGTCCCTTAACATTTTCTGCATGAACAATCATGTCATCTGCAAATAAAGACTGTTTTACCTCTTTCTTTTAAAAGCATATAACTTTCTTTTCCTTTTCTTTCCTTATTGTTCTGGCTAGAAGCTCCAATGTAGTGTTGAATACAAGTAGTCAAACAGACATCCTTGTGTTGTTTTTGACAGAAAGGGGGAGTGGTCAGTCTTTCATCATTACATATGTTGGCTGTTAACTTGATCAAGCTAAGGTAAATTCCTTTCTTTCCCTAGTTTCCTGAACGGGTGTTCATCTCTTCCAGTGCTTTCCTCACACCTGTTGAAATGACTAAGTAGCTTTTCTCTTTTGTTCTGTTAATACAGTGAAACACATAGATTTTTCTTCAGCATGTGCAGCCAACCTTCATTCCTGTGATGAACCACAGTTAAGTATATCATCTTTTTATATATTGTTGTATTCAATCTGCTACTATTTTGTTAAGGATTTTTAAAAATCTATATTCATGATGCTATTGGTCTGTAGTTTTATTACAGTGTCTTTGTCTGATTTTGGTAACAGGATAATGCTGGCCTTGTGAGTGTGGGCATTTTTCTTTCTTCTCTCTTCTCTGGAAGAAGTTGTATATACATTTGCCTTGTGTATTCCTTAAGTGTTTGGTAGTATTCATCAAAGCTGAGTCCAGCTCAGGATCACTTTACATTTTCATATTTTAGGAAATTTGTAAATGTGTTCAAAAGATTTAATCCTGGCTCTACTTTTACTTTTTTTTTTTTTTTTTTAGAAATTGTTATTGATTTCTTTTTATTGTGGTAAAATATTTATAACAAAGTTTACCATTTCAATCGTTTTTAAGTGCATTAAAGACACTCACACTGTTGTATAGACTTTAATTTCTTATACTCGTATTTCTCAGACTGGAAAATTTTTTAAGACATTCCATTTAATCTAGCATTTTAGCTTGTTGTGAAACATTAGATCTCCAGAAACTTCATACCCTTTGACCAACATCTTCCCATTTCCCCCACTCTCAGCCCCAGACAGCCACCATCCTACCCTCTGCTTCTAAGTGTTTAACTGTTTTATGTTCCACATGTGAGCGAGATCATTCAATATTTCTCTGTCATCAGCTAGTCCAACATAACCTTTTCTGTGAATGCAGTAGGTGAAAACATAATTTGATGTGAATGACATTATGATAACAGTTGTAATTTTACATATTTATACATAGTTTCATAAAGTTATGAATTTGAATTATATTTTCATCTTGCATGTTGTTAGTGAGAATAAACCCTATTATTTGGAGGATTTTAAAATAAGGTTTTTAGAAAAATGCTTTGAAAAGTAGTATTTTATTGTATTTAGTTGGTGTAGCTCTTTATTCAGATCATTTGAATTCTAGCGTTGCCAAAGGGAGATGTTATGAATATGGTTTGAACTCACTCTCCACATCTTTGCTGCTCGTGAGTATTTCACGAGAAATACTGTCTCAGCACTAATTATATTTTGTTTGCCACTGAGTGAACTGTCACCAATAATGCGAGGATGACAGCATGTTGTAAATGACTCCCCAAACATAGGTCAGAATTCCTTTAGGAAAAAAGTAGTGCCCAAAAGGTAATGTTATAGAGTTTTTCTTGTACCTACAGGAGAAAAGAATTCAGTTATGCTGCTATGATTTTAAAAAGTGTTTAAAACAAACATACAGAATAACTGGCATTGTATAAAATAACAAATTTTATTTTTATAAAATATTTTACACGAACTGTACACATGCACACGCCCACGCAGAACTTAACCACACGTAGAGTAATCTCCTTTTAATAAAGCTACCACATACTGTTATAGTACAATTTACAGTATCATTTTTGAAGACACAATGGGGAAAGCTTTGTCATTCATTTATAAACCTTCCATCAGTTACAAAAGAAAGGCAGTCTGAAAAGTATGTATAAAGAGTAAAAACAATTTACAAGTGGACAAGAATTACAAAATAGTAACCATCAAATACATCTGCCAGCAACTTTGTAAATCTTTTTTTGTTCAGGTGCCAATGGTGAAGATTGGTATGGAGTAATTTTGAAGAGACTTGAATTTAGGATGTTTCTGGTGTGGCTTATGCATCATGTAGATTGCTTTACGTGTGTGCTGTTCACTGTTGGCTGTGTATGGCATTTTGACAAATAATGAAAGTAACGTAAATCCATATGCCACAAAATGTAACACTGAAAGCAATGAATATTACCAGGTGTCTGGCAGGTTGGAGAAGTGGTACTTTACCAAAGCTACTTCCTCTCCGCTTTTTTGAATGATGTGAGTAAGTAAACATTTTCTGTGTGTTGCCTGGCTTGCTTTAAAAGCTGAAAAGCCAGCATCTTAAATTGCACAGCCTGCACAACTTGGTTTCAAACCACTGTGTCTGTGAGGATGAGAGCACTGAATGCACGACACATACAAAGTGTACACTGTAGTTTTTATTAGACAGTACAAATCACTGTGCATTTATAAGGCAGGACATCAAGGCGAGTAAACTAGGAATTTCAAGACCAGAGTTAAAGTGAGAGTTATGCATTATGAGGCAAGCATTTTGAAAAGGGAGAGAGGTTGAAATCATTCCTTTAAGGGCAGATGACAAATGCACAAAGACTGGAATCCCAGGTAGGGAGTGAGCCACAAAGAGCTACTGGCCCCCTGCATGTTCTCGAGACAGCCCAGCTGCCGCCAGAGCCCGGGCACTAATAAGAGCGATGGGCCGAGGCGGGTGGGAGCACCAGCAGCTCTTTGTCCTGGCGCTGGGCTTAAAGTGGATGGTAGTGCAAAGAGCATTTCTCTACTGGTGTCAGGGGAGAAGATTGTTTTTTTAGGAAGTACTTGAGTCATGAAAGCCCTAGTTTGGAATTAAAGAAAATTACATAGATTTGGAGGTTGTCCGGAAGCACATGAATCATTTCACTGCACCCAGCTTTTTCAGCAGTTTCTTGCCTTTGGAAAGCAGCCCCTTTTTCTTTTTCGAGGACATGTCCCTGCCTCTCCCAGGACTACCAGTACCCTTAGGTGACGGAGGCGACCCCGAATGGAGATGCACTGTGGGGGATGGCGCTCTCCTTGCTGTACCTGACCCCTCAGCAGGAACCTAGTAGGTACATTGTTACAGTTCATTGAGTGCGCGAGCGCCAACAACATCCATCCGCTCACTCGGTAACATCAGAAGCCCCGCACTGCCCCGTTTCCCACCAGGAAAGGTAAGGGTGGATCATGCCTTCTTTCAAGGGTTAAAGTATGCCATGAGAGGCTCACACCCCTCCCAGGGCATATCTCTGACAGGGGGGTCTAGCCATCAATGTTGGGTTTTCAGTTTCTTTGTCTCCGGGGAGGGGGTGGCCATTGCTTTGGCAAAACAAAGCTAGGTAGTAATTTACTTTGTAAACTAAGACAGAGCAGGAAAAAAAAAAGTTACTTTGAATTATGTTGAGAGTAGTATTGGCCAAGTACCCATCTTAAACACAAAAGTAATCTTAAACACAAAAGTTCTTAAAGAAAAAAGTTCTTAAAGTTTTGTTGTATATGAAAACTACTTGGGTATATAAAACCCTGACATTGCTGAGTGCATTCCTGGGTTGGTTAGTATACTGTAGAAACACTGGAGATGGCACACCGGTTGAAAGAAAAAAAAAAACTAAAATGAACCTTAATTACAATCAAAGAAAGCTTAAAGGCCCTTATTGTATGCTTTTGTTATTTCCAAGATATTAAAGATGTCTTTTTGTCAATATAGAGCACATGGTAGGACTTTTGTACACTTCAGTGCTTAATGCTGCTTTACAAGAGCAGAACTATATGGGAGGCATGACAGCTGGCCTCACTCATGTTTCTGGTCCTGGGCATGCCTGAATTCCTCTTACTCCCTTACCTCACCAGAGCAAACCTCTCTCTAATATGAGTGTTCATTATTCAACAGGCAAATGATATGAGCCAAAGGGCTTCAAGCTTACTTGGATTTAAAATCAAGGTCTAATTCTAATGGAAAACACCTAGTAAAGCATCCCAAAGTACACCTGAAGATACCATCTATTCCATCTAATGCAATCGTTTGAGCTGCATGTTTCATTAAACTTAGTATTGCATTGGTATACCAACAGAGCAGTCTTCCACCAAACGCCTTTGTGTTCAGGACACTCACTTGTGCTTTGAGGAGAAGCACCAGCTCTCCTGTAAGGTAGAGGGGTGGTCACTTAAGAAAAAGCTGTCTGCTGCTCAAGCCAGCATGGGAAGTGTTCAGTGCCAACTCTAGATCACCTCTTGTTCACTACTCATCTGCTCGATCTCGAGTTGCATTTTTTTTAAGTAAAATTTCCATAGTAAACATTTATTAGGTTGTGCTTTTTCCAAGAGTGGCTAACAATGCAATATGCAGCTTTAATTATGAGTAGACATTGGAACACTCTGTGTAAACGAACAATTAGCCTGTTAAGAAATATGTTCCCAATGTTGGCCTTTCAAATATTCTTAATGTAAATCGTAGGAAATAATTATTAAAGATGATTTATTTCACTGCAAATTCAGTTGCTTTACAACTGAGACCAAGTAATACTTTAGGTCCAATGGATTTTTGAGACATATTTCTTTTTTTTTTTTTAACCCCACAGTGAAGCCTTAAGTCTACCACATTGGTCCAGTTAAGGTAGCTTAAGTTGGTATCTTTATAGGTATCTTCAGTTGCTCACTTACGTGAAGGCTACATTGCCTGATTAAGGTGTGAAATGAACACTCTTCTTCTGTTTCCAAGCAGATGAGCAAAGAAATAAAAATATATATATATAAAAATATAATATATAAAAACTCGCAGTGATGAAATAAAATAAAAATGAGACACTAAACATGAATGTAATCTAATAGTTATATATGGTTGAGAAGTTCTCTGACCTTTGTTCAGAGGATCTGTTAAAGTCCTAACAGGGCAAACAATCATTATTGCCCACTGAATCTATGGACTAGCCATCCCCTCTCACTCTTGATCAAACTGGAATGTGCACCTAGGATGTAGGATGGGAAGTTCCTTTGTGAGTAAAGCAGGCTGATTAGATTGAAAGGGTCATTTTTGTGGAACAAATAAACATGGTTAGAATTTTTAGGCACAGTCCCCATGGAAGGGCAGAGAAAAAACTCAGGGTCTATGCTTTTCGGCCTAAGATATAAAAAGAGCAATGCAGAGGCTGTATTAGACCATCTACGGCAGAGCGGGAGGGGGTTAAACATGCTGAGTGTGCGTGCTTACCCTTTTCGTCTTGGAGCGCATTGGCATCTCCTGTGAGTAGTGGGACGGTGCGTCGGAAAGGTAGACTTCTACATCATCAGGCACTTCTTCTAGGAAGTTGGAAGGTACAAGCCCTTTCTGCCCATTAAGCTCCCCCTAGAAACACAGAGATGAGAAAGAAGAATGACTGACCCTTGTTCCCAGAAACCCACTTCTTGCTTTCGCTAAAGGAATATAGCTCAGAGTAGTGAGTTTATCATGGTTCAAAAGTGGTAGAGCTCGGGATGCCAGTGTTTCCTAACTCCCCTGGTCACAAGAATGACCTTGGCCATGTGCTTGAAGTGCAGGGTCACGCCCATCACCCTCCTTCCCCCTCCCCACCCCAAGTCTTGATTCGGTCTACGGTGGAGCCAGAGTCTGTTCCAGCCAAGGGGCCTGGGTGAGTCTTAGGATCAGGCACGCTTAGAAACACTCCTTGAGAGCGTCTCACTTCATAGTTGTCAGCCCTGGCTGACCTCTGAGTCCCGAGGGAACTTGTAAAAATACCTTTGCTCCGGCACGGTGAGAGAGGGGAGCTGGGGGTGTGGGGGCAGGGGCAGGACTGAACAGACAGAGCAGTTGCCCCTGGAATGGTTCATCCGAGGCTTTACTACAGTCTCACTGTAAAGATCCACGAAATAGAGGAAGATGAAAGTGTCGATGCCTCCTTAGAGGTGACCGCTTCAGGTGGTGTATATTCTTCCAGACCTTTCTACTCAGGCACATGCCTATGCATGTGTGGGGAGAGAGCAAATTAGCCAAGATGGGGGGCTCAGGCTCTCTCGCTCCACATAGTGTAAACAGTGAGGATGTAACAGCTGAGATCATTTGTAGCACTGCGCACGGGCGTCAGGAGGTCCTCGCTTGGTCGGGCTACTTTGTGTAGGACGCCTGTATGAGCGCCACCTAAAGAAAGCAGGGGCGTTTCTGCCGCATCACAGCTGTGTCAGCNTGAGATCATTTGTAGCACTGCGCACGGGCGTCAGGAGGTCCTCGCTTGGTCGGGCTACTTTGTGTAGGACGCCTGTATGAGCGCCACCTAAAGAAAGCAGGGGCGTTTCTGCCGCATCACAGCTGTGTCAGCCTTGAGAGGAGAGAATACGGTGTGTCTACTGCTGTGGCCGCTGTGCCAGCCAGGAGAGAATACTGTTGTGGCTGCGGCATCAGCCAGCACAGAGGGTGTGCTGTGTTAGGTTAGGCTGTGGCTGCTGGGTCAGCCAGGAGAGAATAATCTGTCTGCAGATCCTAGGGCTCCTCAGGTCTCCTTCTAGCTTTCCCACTCACACCTTGTCTACCACGGGTTCATCGAACAACGCAGACAGTGTGAACAGCAAGACAACTGGCGCTGTCAGCAGGGTCAGCAATACAGCATGCAACCTAGACCAGCTGCTCACCGGATGTATCAAGAGGTTCAGAGCCCACATGTCAACCCCACCCCACCCCCAGTGCCAACCTGCCCCACAGAACCCGAAACCAAGTTCAAAACTGGCCCCAGATAACATGGGAGTCTGTTTCTTTGTTCAATAGGTCTAGGAAATGACAATTGGAAAGTGACAGCTCACACATCAAAATTAAAAACTATGCATCCAAGGACATGACCAACAGAGTGTAAAAGAAACCTACACGATGGGAGAAAATATGTGCAAGTCATTATCTAATAAGAGGATATATATAATAAAGGATATATAAAGAAATTCTACAGCTTTACAAAATAATTCACCCAGTTAAAAAGGGGGCAAAGAACCTGAATAGATATTTCTCACAAGAAAAAAAAACATACAAAAAGTTAACAAGCGCATAAAAGATGTCAGTATCACTATTTATTAGGGAAATAAAAATCAAAACCACATTAGGATGGCAATACTGGTGTAGATATGGAGAAATTGGAACACTTGCATGCTATTGGTGGGCCTGTAAAACAGTACAGCCACTATGGAAAAAACAGTATGCTGGTTCCTCAAAAAATTAAAAATAAAATTACTATATGATCCAACAATTCCACTTCTGGGCATTTACTTAATTAAAAGCAGAGTCTTGAAGAGAGTCTGGTATGCCTATATTCACAGCACTCTTCAGAATAGCCAGAAGATGGAGTTACCCTGACTGTGCATCAGTGGATGAATGGATAAACAATGTGTGGCTCAATGCTGTATTATTCAGCCTGGAGAAAGGAAGGAAAGTCTGAGCTATGCTACCACGGTGATGAACCTCGAGGATGCCATGCTAGGTGAATGGTCCAAAGAAGACTTCCCCTGAGTCATGCCACTTACACGAGGCTCCTAGAGCGGCCAGAGGCACAGAGACAGGAGAGTGGTGACTGCTGGGGATGGTGGAGACTTGGTATTTAAAGGGGACACTGCTAACTTTGCAAGATGAAAAGAGTTCTAGAGGTGGATGGTTGTGATGGTTGTGCAAGAATCTGGGTGTACTTAACACCAGTGAACTATACACTAACGAGTGATTAAGGTTAAACTGTGTTTTATGTATTTTATCACCACAAAAAATTAAAATGATTTGTTTAAAAAGAGGCAGGTCCAGGTACCTCCCATGTTTTCCTGTGCAGTAATCCCTCCTGAGCTCCAAATCCACCTGCCCAGTTCAGCCATCACCTGCCTTCTGCTTTGACCTTGAAGATTCCACTCTCCTGTTCACCCGTGACAGCGTCAACCCTTCTCCCTCAAGCTCTCCTATTAGCTCATTTTTCTCTGTTGGTGTTACTTAGAGACTTTCTAGGACACCTTTATCTTTTACTGTGCACGTGTCCCTGGTGATTTCTTCCACATCAAGGGTTGCAGACAACATCAATACACAGACACTGGAATCTCTATACAGTCCAGGCCTCCTAGTAACTCTTTAACAGCTTTTTTTCTCTCCAGCATCAGAAAAACAACTTTCTTTGGGTGGGCACCAGATGGAGTAGTTGGCTTATGTTTGGGGACTACATTCCGTGAAAACACAGCTTTACACACAAACCCCCATCAGTACCACGCTCACATCACAAGAGGAACCTGTGTGACCAGAGACCTGTACCCTCCTGCCTGTTCAGGCTTCCGAGCTGAACCCTGCCCTGGGCTCACTGAACAGTGTGTGGGGGTACTGTCTAGACAGTGTTTCCTCTCTTTTCTCCTGAGCCTCCCTCATACAGTTCTGTTAAATCACGTGTCAGAAGTGCACATGACACCACTGTCGGATGTGATCACTAGAATATTCCAGGGGCGTGAGTACTCCTCCTCCTCGGAGAGGCTCTGTAGCCTCAAGCTCAGTATTTCGTGTTTTCCTCTCAACCATGTCCTTACTCCTATTTTACCCAGGGCAGCCATCAGCTAAGGCACAGCCTTGAGATCTTCATGGAAGATGTCCCAACTAAGCATCTGAGCCCTCGATGTCTGTCTGCCTCCGTTACCATCTCAGTTCAAGCCCTTGTTTCTCACCTGGGTCATTTCATAGCTTGTACCCTGGACTCTTGGTGACATGTCACCAAGCCCCCTGGGACTCCCACCTCCCTTCAACAGTCCATTTGCAAAACCTTTGACTATAACTTTCTCTAAGAGACATTTCTCCCTCTTGCAGACCCTTCACACTCAGATCTCTGGTCCTCTTTGAGCCTCATTTCTACCACTTCTCTATGTTTGAGGCCAAATACAAACCGTGTCAAGACCTTACATTCAAAGAGAATTGGATTATGTTAGGCTAAATGGCAGTAAACATTACAACTGCCCCATTTTCTTCATGCACAGTCAGCACGAAGCCCAGTCATGCCTGCATAGTTCTTCTTTGCTGGCTTTAATGCTTTTTAGACTGCTACTGTGCAGCCAATTTCCTTCTGACCTATCAAAGTACATGACTTAAGAGTCTGGCTATAGAAACACTGTGAGTGCAAGTATCTGGTTAACACAGCCTAAGGGCTGAAGCATTATGGGGTGCTGGAAATCTCAAATGATTGGAGACAATCTCAAATGATTGACTTCACTGTGGATGCTATGGATTGTGGAGGGGAAGGCCCAGGTGGACAACAGAGGTCCCTCCATCTAGTCTCTGTTTGTTATGGGATATTTGGAACTGAGGAGAGACTGGGAAGAGATCACAGGAGTATATCCCAGAACAAGTTAGCTCTTATGAGAGCTTTCAAGATTGCATGCAATGTCAGACAACACAAGTTTGGTGAAGCTTGAGATGTTTGGTATCAAGTTAGATATCCCCAGTTCTTGTTTATCAAATAAGAAATAATTAAAAATAAGTAGACTGGGCAGTCTACTCAGCAAATCAGACCAACAAAATAACAGTAAAGCCATTTGGTGGATATATACATAAAAAGTGTACATTTCATATTAATTTAGATCTGATTCCTACTGTCATGCAAAATTTAGGTAGGCTAGCCAAGAAAACAAAGAGATAAAACATAACATAGCAATGGAAACAAGCAGCTCATAGTAGAAAAATATTTTTAAATTACCAGATAATACTATGTCCAGTTTTGTCTAGGTGTTTGAAAATCTAAATGAAAGGTGTGGCATTCCAAGTATACATAGAGTCTAAAAATATTGACTCAGTAAGAAGGATAATCATTTAAGCAAATGAAAGCTGTTATACAACCGTATCCTAAAAAGACAATGAACCTAAAAGATCTTATAGACATATTTTAATAATCTTCACATAATTATAAGACCTAACTATGTCATTTTAGCTGTCCAGATCATGAAAAATACTGGAAGCTTACCAGCATTCACAATTCTAGCATAATCCTGATACCAAAAGCTATATAAAAGATATTCCAGACATTATATTCCAATATAATGTCTGGAATATAAATATAATTCTGAATAAAATGTTAGCAAATAAAATCCAGCTCTTCAAAAATAATTGTAAAAAATAGTGGTATACCATGGTCAATAACTTACTGAGAGAAAAATAAGCTTAGGAAATGAAAACAGGATACTTAACACTATAAAGACCATCTCTCTATTGATAGTCTAGCCTAACACATAACAGTGTAAAGATTAGTGACATTCTACTAAAATACATAATGTCAAGGATCCCCTGTCCTCACTATTCATAATTGTTCTAAATGATGCAGTAAAACAGTAAGAAGAGATGACTGATAAATACTGAAGAAGAGACAAAATGTCTTGACTCAGGGAACTCAAGAGAACCACTGATGACAGTGGATATAAATGCATCCAGAAGAAAGATTTGTAGGGGAACATAAACATGCATGCAGATAAACAGGCACAGAGAGTGCACACATACATACACATAAAATGCACACATATACACACATGCAAATACATACACATGCCCATATACATACATAAACACACATCCATACATGTTTGTATGCATATATGCACACATACATGTGTGTTGCATACATACAAAACATACATACACGCATGCATATGTATACACATTTCCAACATATTTTCTAAGTAACCAGTAAAATATATACCAGAAAAATCATAATAGCATGAACATAAGAATGAACTTTAAAAGATATATAAGGATGTGTAAGAATAATTTCATGAACAGATGAAAGGAAAAGCTTAGAAAAAGTCAGACACACTCATCTTAGAGTTGAAAGACAATGTCATGTCATCTAAAAACTCCCCAGTTTCATCTAAAAACTAAATGCACCTCTAAATAAAATACTGTGGGTTTGTTGTGGGGTAGGATCCTAGTGAAGAGATCCCTTCCAAATGTGAAAATGAATTATAAAAACAATAATTGAGAGAATCAAGTAGCATGAGATATGGATACAATCTAGATAGGAGTGTAGTACGCAGAAGAAGGGTGGGATTTTTAAACAGTGGGGAAAGGATGGATTATTTAATAAGCGGCATGGGACATTAGTTTCTCTAGAAATTAAGTTAGACACTTGAGATTTACATGTGAAAATGAAGCTATCAAAGTGAAGAACCAAGATAAAATGATTATTTCTATCACCTTGAAGGACTTTTAAGCATGCCTCCCAAGGGCTGAAAAACTGACTACATAAAAATTTAAAACTTCTGCTTCATAAAAGAAAAGAAGACAAAACCACACACAAAAAAGAAAAGTTAAAAATCAGATAATTACCTAGAAAAAGAAATATTTGCAACATAGGGACAAAGTATCAAGACAGGCTTGGACCTGGAACCTGGGACCTTTTGCTGCAGTGCTTGCACCTGGTGAAACATCTCCAGCATCAAAATACAAAGGAACTAGAAAGAACTAAAACTAAGTGCAACAAAGGGGGGTAGTTAGGGCAAATTACAGACAACAAGGTACAAAAAGACCAAAAAAACCCAACTGCCACTTCTGAAGAGCCCAGAGTAAAACCAGAGGTTTGAGAGCAAAAGCAGGGTACTTTGCATGCCCGCTGCACACATCACCACCTAAGGGGTGTGCAAACCACCTAAGCTACCTTCTGGCCTGACCCCTGGACACACCCCTACCCTCACCCCATGTACCTTGTCCCCCTCATCTGAGAGCAAGCAAGCGAACCTGTTGTTTGTTCTGGCTCCCCACTGTGCACCAGGGGCCCCAGTAAAGCCTTACCTGAATTTTTTCTCTGACCTCTGATCAATTTCTATTGATTGGGGAAGGCCAAGAACCCTGGTTGGTAACAGTATGAACAGTCTCACTAAAAACTATTCTCTTAAAAATCAGAAACGGCAGCAGAAGTGCTTTGACATACCATGTGTGCCTAATGCTGTAAAATCCACTTGACCCCAAGAGAAACCTGCCGTCAGGACTTGAGAGTTTCTTGATTATTTTTATTATTAAAAAAAAAGAAACAGAAAGAGGAGGAAAGTGGGATGCAAGATGATGACCCCATCCATAAGGCAAGAGACAGCAGTAGGTGTCTGGCTGGGGAGGTGCCACCAAGATGACCACCCAACATGCCTGCCTTCTCTTCTTTAGGAATATCAGGAGATCCGCTCCGCTGGCCCAGGTCAGAGCCAGGACTCCCTCATCCCTGCCCCAGAGGCTGGGTCCTCAGGGCTGTAAGAGGGAGGAGCTTGAGATTCTGTTGGTTTTAATGAATTAATTTTGCTTCTTTGTATTTCTTCCTCTCACCATTTGAAAATGTATTATCTATGTGCTAAACGGGGCTTCCAAGGTGGCACTAGTGGTAAAGAACCCTCCTGCCAATGCAGGAGACATAAGAGACTTGGGCTCCGTCCTTGGATTGGGGAGGATCCCCTGGAGGAGGAAATGGCAACTCACTCCAGTATTCTTGCCTGGAGAATCCATGGACAGAGGAGCCTGGCAGGCTACAGTCCGTAGGGCTGCAAAGAGTCAGACACAACTGAAGCAACTTAGCATGCATGCAGGCACTATAATCCACAAAATTAAACGGCTTGGTAAATGTTTGGATGAAAGAAATAGTTCATGTAAGCACGTGAACACTCTTACTTTGTCAACAGCTCGTATCCATTGAAAATGTCCCTTTTAAAGAGAAGTAACAGTGAAGATCACAGAACTGCCTTCCCATAGTCTATGTGAAGAGCAAGGAGGACAAGCACATTAGCCATCCTTTCAGCAAGCCAGGTAAAGTTCATGCACAATTTTAGAGGACAGAATAGACAAGCAAAAATATTTATATATTTGATGCTTCAAAAACTTACATAATAAAATCCATCTTCATCAATTTCACCAAAAACAGTAATAATATCTCCTGTGCAAAATGTAAGTTCAGCCTGTAGAGACAGAACATAAAGTTAATAGTGTTTTCCTAGATATAGAAGTTGCCTTAAAAAAAAAATCTTCGTGATTTCTGGTATGATTTTTTTTCTTATTGTTTTGGTATGAACCTACCCTTTCAGTCAGATAAGGAAGAAAGGTACATATCAGATGAATGAATGCCTGTGTTCCCAGTCTCTTGGAAAGTAAGGACAACTCAAAATAAGGCCAAGTCTCCAACAGAAGGGCTGCTGTGCTCCGATTCTCAGCCAGAATTAAGCTCATCCCCAGGTTCTGCTGGCAGTGTGTCTTTACAGCTAGTTGAATAGTTAACTTAAACACCATAGAGCCTTCAGATGTGCTCTGCAGTGTAGGGAGCATTGCACAAATATCCTTTCACTCAATGTAAGAAAAAAATTTGTATTTAAATGTCATTTAGTAAATATCTACTATGTGCCATGCTCCAGGTTAGAGGTGGGTGCACTGACTCCAGCAGAGGATACCAGAAAAAATTGCATTTTCATCTCTAGATATGAAAACAGGGGGCTCAAGTTCATTTCGAAGAGCCTTTAGGCATCATATACACATTAAGCCAGGCTTCCCAGGTGGCACTAGTGGTAAAGAACCTGCCTGCCACTGCAAGAGACACAAGAAACACGAGTTCAGTCTCTGGGTCTGGAAGATCTCCTGCAGGAGGGCATGGCAACCCACTTCAGTATACTTGCCTGGAGAATCCCACGGACAGAGGCGCCTGGTGGGCTACAGTTCATAGGGTCGCAAAGAGTCGGACATGACTGAAGCGACTCAGCATGCATGCACACATTCATCAAGCCAACACAGAAATTTGAATCCACCTAAGCTCTGAATCTGAACCCCAAGCTGGTCACCCATTGGGCACAACAGAAATACCAAGGACCAGGGATTTGTATACATCTTGTCTAAAAAAACAGCTCCAAAGAGTGGAAATCTAATCCCTCTGAAGGCAAATGCTTTTCAGTTTTCACAGTGTTCCTAGGATACCCAGCCTATGTGCACAGAGAACATCCATCTTTTCTGCTCTATCTCCCTTGTGTGTGTGTGTGTGTGTGTGTGTGGAGGCGGGGGGTCACTGGCCACATGTCAGAGGTTTTGCTCTCTCTCTCCAGGATGACCCATCACAGCAGGTGTGGGTCAAAGGGTGCGGGTCCAGGGAAGCCCTAGGTCAGTGGCTGCCTGAGTGTGTCGCCAGGCTTGCGACCTGCCTCCTGCCCTCCTGGCTCTCGTTCCTGGTGGAGTAGCCCTTCCCGTGTAGGTTCCAGGGAAGGGAGGGAGGGAGGGGGTTGCGGGCAGAGGTACCTCGACGTCGATGTTGGGCGAGCTCTCCCTCGGGTCATAGTCATACAGGGCCACCACCCTTCGCGTGGACACCGCGTGCTGCCTGCCGCCTCTTCTGTTCCTCTCTGTTCACATGGCAAGGAGAAGAAGAACGCCATCATGAAGTGATCGCAAAGCCCGCGGCGGCCCCTATCCCTTGACTTAGTCAGTGGAGCCAGGTTGCATGCAGCCAGTGCGGCTGAGATGACTGCTGGGCAGTGGTGCTGGCCAAGCCGGGGAAGTCCCCAGGCTCCCTACGCTCACACTGAAGTCCAGTCGAGCCCCACTCCTCTCTCTCTGTGTACAGAAACAGGGGAGACTTGGAGCAGGGGATTCGCTCCACAAGTCAATCTAAAGGGCTTGGAGTGGCACGAGCTGCGTGTGACATGGGGGGGCCACACGGGCCACTTGCAGGTTGTGACCCAGCTCAGAGGAACCCCATGAACACCAGGTCAAAAATGCTGCCCATGGAGCTGCTATGAAGATTATTCTCGCTCAGATTATTCTCGCTCAGACCAGAGGCTGTTGTCAGGAGAAACAAGAGTCACCAGAAGGGGGACTGGGTCTGGAAGATCTCCTGCAGGAGGGCATGGCAACCCACTTCAGTATACTTGCCTGGAGAATCCCATGGACAGAGGCGCCTGGTGGGCTACAGTTCATAGGGTCGCAAAGAGTCGGACATGACTGAAGCGACTCAGCATGCATGCACACATTCATCAAGCCAACACAGAAATTTGAATCCACCTAAGCTCTGAATCTGAACCCCAAGCTGGTCACCCATTGGGCACAACAGAAATACCAAGGACCAGGGATTTGTATACATCTTGTCTAAAAAAACAGCTCCAAAGAGTGGAAATCTAATCCCTCTGAAGGCAAATGCTTTTCAGTTTTCACAGTGTTCCTAGGATACCCAGCCTATGTGCACAGAGAACATCCATCTTTTCTGCTCTATCTCCCTTGTGTGTGTGTGTGTGTGTGTGTGTGGAGGCGGGGGGTCACTGGCCACATGTCAGAGGTTTTGCTCTCTCTCTCCAGGATGACCCATCACAGCAGGTGTGGGTCAAAGGGTGCGGGTCCAGGGAAGCCCTAGGTCAGTGGCTGCCTGAGTGTGTCGCCAGGCTTGCGACCTGCCTCCTGCCCCGCTGGCTCTCGTTCCTGGTGGAGTAGCCCTTCCCGTGTAGGTTCCAGGGAAGGGAGGGAGGGAGGGGGTTGCGGGCAGAGGTACCTCGACGTCGATGTTGGGCGAGCTCTCCCTCGGGTCATAGTCATACAGGGCCACCACCCTTCGCGTGGACACCGCGTGCTGCCTGCCGCCTCTTCTGTTCCTCTCTGTTCACATGGCAAGGAGAAGAAGAACGCCATCATGAAGTGATCGCAAAGCCCGCGGCGGCCCCTATCCCTTGACTTAGTCGTGGAGCCAGGTTGCATGCGGCCAGTGCGGCTGAGATGACTGCTGGGCAGTGGTGCTGGCCAAGCCGGGGAAGTCCCCAGGCTCCCTACGCTCACACTGAAGTCCAGTCGAGCCCCAATCCTCTCTCTCTGTGTACAGAAACAGGGGAGACTTGGAGCAGGGGATTCGCTCCAAAAGTCAATCTAAAGGGCTTGGAGTGGCACGAGCTGCGTGTGACATGGGGGGGGCCACACGGGCCACTTGCAGGTTGTGACCCAGCTCAGAGGAACCCCATGAACACCAGGTCAAAAATGCTGCCCATGGAGCTGCTATGAAGATTATTCTCGCTCAGATTATTCTCGCTCAGACCAGAGGCTGTTGTCAGGAGAAACAAGAGTCACCAGAAGGGGGTACCCTCTCTGCCCACCTCAGGTTCCTTTCCCTCCGCTTCCTCTAGTGCCCTCGCTGTATTTTTAACATCTGTCCCTGAAAGGATGCCACTTGTGGAGAAGGCTCTGGGGGAGGTCCCCTCCTGCTGCCCGGCTGTGATCTGCCCTAGACGGAGCCCTGGGCTCTGTAGCAGCGTAAGAGGCGAGGAAAGAGGAAAACCTACACAGAGCATTTGCAAAAACTCCAAAATAGCCATTTATAAGAAGGGCCGATGGAGAACCATGAGATCTGGCCCAAATCGTCGAACTCCTTGGCAAACCTCCGTTTGTTGGGTTCCTAAATGATGTTTCTCCTGGAGAAAGTTGGCATTGAGGCCTTTCTCCCAAACCCAGCCACCTTTTGCCTAAGACTGATTTTTGGAATTCAATGCACAGAAATGAAAACTCCTAAAGACACATGTTTTGAAAGCATCTAAACTGAGTTAAGCAGCTTTTCAGGGGTCTGCGGCAGGCACAGGGCTCGTTGTGTGCCTGTGCAAAATTCAACCCTCAGCTCCCGGTCAAGAATCACTGCTTTTATTTGAAATAAGCAAGCAAACCTTTGCAAGACCTGCATGTATGTTTCCTGGATTAAATTACAGTGGTAACCAGAGGTTAACTACTGTGTTGCTAAACTGCTAATTTCACAGGGGAACCCTATGTCAGTGGCATTAAGGCTACATGTGTACTATATTGAGGTGTAATTTACATACAGTATGATTCAGTCTACTGTTCATTCACTTTAGTAAGTTTTGATAAACTCTATGGTCACATAACCACTACGACCATCAAGACATTGAACACTTATGTCACCATCCCCCGAATTCCTTCATGCCCATTTGTCACCTCCAACCTAGGTAACCACTGATCTGTTTTCTGTCCCAATAGTTCTGCCTGTTTTAGAATATTGTTTAAATGGCATCTTACATGTGTAGCTTTTGGGGACTGACTTCTTTCCTTTGGACAGTGCATCTGAGATTCAGTCATGTTACTGCATGTATCAATTTGTTTTACTCTTCTTGGTGAGTAGTATCCCATTGTATTGCTGCACCATAGTTATTTTATCCATTTACCAGCCAGAAAACATTTGAGTTCTTTCCGGCTATTAGTGATTTTTTAAAATTTATTTTTGGTTGTGCTGGGACTTTGTTGCTGCATGCAGGCTTTCCCTAGTTAAGGCGAGTGGGGGCTACTCTTTTTGCAGTGTGATGGCTTTGCATTGTGGTGGCTTTTTTTGTTTTGGAGCATGGGTTCTAGGGTGCACAGGCTCAGCAGTTCTGGTTCACAGGCTTAGGTGCCCTGTGATACGTGGGATCTTAGTTCCCGGACCAGAGATCAAATCCATGTCCCCTGCACCGGCAGGCAGATTCTTAACCACTGGATCACTGGGGAAGTCCCACTCAGAAATACTTACTTTTGATGATATCTAACACAATTTTTAAAGTATATCATATCAAAAACAATTGTTGCCTGGTCATTACAAAGTTTTTCTCCTTTGTTTTCTGTAAGTTTTATAGTCTTCATTTTTATATTAAAGACAGTGTCCATCTTGAGTTAAGTTTTTCACTATAGTGAGAAGATGGCTTGAGATTCATTTCTGGCCTGTGGATGTCCAGTAATTCCAGCACCTATTATTGAAAAGACTACCTTTTCTCAACTGAATTACGTTTTTACCTCTGTCAAAAATCAGTTGATCGTGTATATGTTGGTCAGTCTGGGGGGGTCCATTCTATCCTGTTCATCTATGTGACTGTCCTTTCTCCAATACCACATGGTCTTGATCAGTTTGCTTTATAGTGAGTCTTAAAATCAAGTTACATGAGTCCTGCACATTTTTCTTTCAGTGATTTTTACTTTTTCTGACTTTTCATGTGCATGAATGATTTAGCTTATTGATTCTATCTAGTGTTTTGCACAGACCTTGACTGCTATTTTGATGAATGTATAGGTCGGTTTGGAGATATCTGACATCTTAATGTCTTAGCAATATTAAGTCTATGAACATTCCATCTCTATTTACTTAGGGATTCTTTGACTTCTTTCATCAATGTTTTATCATTTTCAACATACAGATACTACATGTATTTTTTTAGACTTAACTGTATTTCACATCTTCATTGTGTTATTGTACACAGTATTACTTTTTCAATTTAAATCTCAAGTTTTTCATTGCTAACCTATGGAAATGCAATTGCTCGTGAATCCATTGGCCTTACTAGTCTCACTTGTATTCTAGGAACTGTATTTATAGATTCCCTGAGATTTTCAAAGTGGGTTTCCACGTGATCTGTCCATTCTGTGTACCATCACTCCCTGGCTGTCCTTATACTGCACATTCCAGCATGCAGCTGGAAAGGAGAGATGAGCGTGGACATTGTGGCCTTACTCCCAGTCTCAGGATGAAAGCGTCCAGTCTTTCACCATGAGAATATTGCCTCCACATAAAAGGGCAAGCAGGTATCTCAGCTTGATTCCCTCAACTAGTCTAGGGACCACTGAATAAAAAGACATTTAATCCCAGCAGTCATGTAAATCAAGTTTCTTTACTTTAGCAGATTGCTCCTAGACTCTCTGGGTCTGTGGTGCATGAACCCATCCTCTCTTTGAAGAGGCACTGTCGACTTCAGGAAAGGGGGCAGCGATGCAAGGGAATTCATGACGTGAGGGCTCAGAGAGCTGTGGTCTCAGGGATTTAATCTGGGCAGTTTATTCATATGAAACCTCAACTATTAGACATGGATCTTGACTTGAGACAATGAACTGATTAATACCAAAAAGGTTGAGATATTTGATTTTTGTGTTTGTCCTTAAAATCATGCATATTACTTGAACCACTGAACTTTGTCTGGAGTGTGATTTAGAAGTAAATCTAGGGGAGGCAGTGGAGTGGACTGGGAGTTTGGCATTGGCAGATGCAAACTATTACATGTGGGCTGCCCTGGGGGCTTGTGGTAAAGGATCCACCTGCCAATCCAGGAGACACAGGTTTGATCCCTGGGTTGAGAAGATGTCTTGGAGGAAGAAATGGCAACCCACTCCAGTATTCTTGGCTGGAAAGTCCCATGGACAGAGGAGAGCCTGGCGGGCTACAGTCCATGGGGTCACAAAAGAGTCAGACATGACTGGGCATGCACACAATGTACAACAAACTGTTACATACAGGACAGATAAACAACAAGGTCCTACTGTATAGCACAGGGAACTACAGTCAATATCCTGTAATAAACCATAATGGAAGAGAATATTAAAAAGAATGTACATATGTGTATAATTGATTCACTTTGCTATACAGAAGAGATTGGCACAACATTGTAAATCAACTATAAGCCAATAAAAATAAATTTAGAAAAAGGTTAAACAATAAAAAAGAAGCAAATGTAATGTTTTGAAGTATTAAAACTTTAAATGTGAATGCTATGAGTCTTTCTGTCTACAGTTATTTAGAAAAAAGAGAGGCCTTTTGAATGAGTAGATTTTCCTTGCACATGGAAAAATTAAAGACCATAAATGTAATGTTGCTGAAAACAGTTTTACTGTTTGCTCAGTGGTTCTAGATAAACAAAAGAATTTAGTATCCAAATTAAAGGGTAAAAACCTTTTATGTCTTTGGATAAGCAGAATTCACCTGAAGAATGGAAAGCATACCACTACCCAGTCATCCTTTGAAATTTATCATAGATAGTCAATGTGCAAAGTAGTACCAGTGTCCTGGTGGTCCAGTGGCTAAGACTGCGCTCCCAAAGCATGGGGCCCAGGTTCAGTCCCTGGCGGGCAAAGTAGATCCCACAGGCTGCAACTAAAGATCCTGCATGCCACAATTAAGACACGGAGCAGCCAAATAAATAAATATTAAAACAAACAAAAACCAAGTATATTAGCAATATGAGTTCATTCATGCTGAGATGACAAAGTGCTATGGACTGGGGGCTAAGACAACAAACATTCATTTCTCACAGTCCGAGATTAAGGTGCTGGCTGACTTGGTGTCTGGTGAAGACCTGCTTCCTTCCTTCCTGGTCCACAGATGACTTTCTTCTTGTGACCTCACGTGATGGAAAGGGGGAGGGGCTCTCTGGGGTCTCTTTTATAAGGGCACTAACCCCATCCAGAAGGGCTCCACCCTCATGACCAGATCACTCCCAAAGACCCTACCTCCTAATAAACCATCACATTGCAGATTAAAGTTTCAACAAATGAATTTTAGGGGGACACAAACATTCCATCCAAAACAACCCCAAAATGTTTACCTTCTAAATGTGATAGACTTTTAGTAAGCAAGGCCATACTTCATCTTTCATGAGAAGATCATCTGTGTTTTCATAAATATTTAGATGCCTATATGTCTGTATCTCAGGACTGTTAAAACCTTGGTTTACAGAGTGGGTTTTGCCCAAGAAAATCTGTTGGTTGACAGATTTGGGGGACTTCCCTGGTGGTTCAGTGTTTAGGACTCTGCGCTTCCAATACATGGGGCCCAGGTTCAGTCCCTGGTCTGGGAACTAAGATCCCACATGCCTAGTGTGGCCAAAAAATAAAATGGTTACGTGACAAGGATTTACCGTGTAGCACAAGGAACTATATGAAATATCTTTAGAAAAAAAAAAAACACAAAGCATTCATTCCTCTGCTCAGCGCTGCCTCCTGCCCTGAGTTGGTGGGTTTTGTGTTTTTTTTTTTTCCGTAGTTTTAAAAAAATATTTTTTTTAGTTGTTGGCTGTGCTGGGTCTTTGTTGTTGCACCCGGGTTTTCTCTGGTTGCAGTGATCTGGGGCTACTCTCTAGTTGCAGTACTCAGGGTCCTCATTGCGGTGGCTTCTCTTGTGGAGCACGGGCTCTAGGGTGCACGGGCTCCAGTAGCTGTGGCTCCTGGACTCCAGGGCACAGGCTCAATAGTTGTGGTACACGAGCTCAGTTGCTCTAAGGCATGTGGGATCTCCCCGGTAGAGGGATGGAACCTGTGTCCCCTGAATGGGCAGGTGGACGCTCCACCATTGAGCCACCAGGGAAGCCCTGGGCTGTATTTTGTGCTAAAAAACCCTCGAGAAGGCAGGTGCCACCTGGCCCACAGGTTCACAGGTGAGCCGGGCATGGCCTCTTACCTATTTTCTCCACAGGTGTGTTCAGAGGGAGGAAGCCTTGTCTGAGAAGCTGGTCCATCATCTCCTCATCGTCTGCCTGGATTTCAGAGACCATGTTACAGGGAATAAGGCCAAGCCGGGCACAGGTTTCCCCGCGGTAGAATCCATCTGCGTCTTTATCACCATACACCTGGAGTCGTGGGAAGAAGGCAAGGCACTGGAGTGGCTGGTTCAGAAATAGATCAGCTCTGTTCATGCTAGTCACAGCTAGTCAGACACTGACTTGAAGAACATGGAATATCGCTGCTTGTGGGCATAAGTGTGTACACATGGCCCTCACCCTAAAAATCTGTATGTCTAAGAACCTGATTCTCCACCAGGGTTTGGACAGCCTCTGGAGCTCCCACTGAGCAAGGGGCTGCCAGGTGAGGCCAGGGCTTTGCTAGCTGAGTGCATGTGTGTGAACTCACACAAGTTAAGCCCCCCTCCCCAACCCCACATGCAAGTGTAGTGTAACAAATGATTCCTCCATAAGAAGACAGAGCCACTGTCTGGCATTCTAGAAGTGAAAAACCTCAACTCACAGAGGGATTCTGTGCGTACTATTCTGTGGGGTAAGCATCACCATCCTTTAGAGCCTCTGTTTTACTTAGCAAACATTAGGACCTCTTTCAAAGGTTATTGTCATTGCCTTTTCAGAAATTTGCAAACTTAGGGTTCAAGGCCCTTTCCCCTCTCCTAGGGAGCACCCCATGTCTTCCTTCTGACTCCAGACTCAGGCTCCTCCTCCACTACTGATAGGAGGCTGAATGTCAAATACAAGAGAAAGTAGCCTGTCCTTTTGAGGTATTAAGGCAGCTGTCCCCAAATTCTCTGGCATCAGGAACTAGTTTTGTGGAAGACAATTTTTCTGTAGATTGGGGGTGGCGGTGGCTTCCCTGTGATTCAAGCACTGTAGGGTTTGTACTCTTATGAGAATCTAATGCTGCCACTGGTCTGACAGGAGACAGAACTCAGGTGGTAATGTGAGTGATGGGGAGCGGCTGTAAATACAGATGAAGCTTTGCTTGCTCATCCGCCACTCACCTCCTGCTGTGCAATCCGGTTCCCAACAGGCCACAGACCCATACTGGTCCATGGCCTGAGGGAGTGCCTCGGAGCAACTCAGCCCGTGTAACACAGCTGTTCAGCCTGTGTTCTGGAGTCCAGGAGCCGCAACTACTGAGGCCACATGTTGCAACTACTGAAGCCTGCAGCCTAGAACCTGTGCTCTGCGAGGAGAGAAGCCACCACAATGAGCAGCCTGTGCATGACAACTAGAGAGCAGCCCCCACTGGCCGCAAGACAGAAAAGCCCATGCGGCAGCAAAGACCCAACACAGCCAAAACCAACACAATCCATGAAGTCATGAAAATGAACTCTTAAAAAAATGTGTAGCTCAGCATGCAGGCAGAAATGGATCACCTCTACAGAGATGGGTTTGAAAAGCTAAGAACTAGTATGAAACGTAGGCAGCAGGGTGGGTGTAGGCGTGCTGCTTGTGAAGACAGCGAGAGATAAAGGACTGTGTTTCAATGACCTCCTGGCAGGACTGGTCTGAGCACCGGCTGGGGGGGCGGGTGACGGGTAGCCAAATCCCGGGATTAGGAAGGACCTGTTTAGGAGTCAAGCACAGAGACCCAGAGACCCTCTAGGTTTCCATTAACAGATAGGCCAGGGCAAAAGGATGCTGAAAGATGTGTTTGCCTATTAGTCAAAGTTTGATACAGGTGACTGAGCTGCTCACTTGGCTCCAAATAGGTAAGTGGCAATGAATGCATTACAGTAAATTAATGACTTCCTGGAAGAATTGAGTTTCAAGTCTGCCTACCACTGAGCGTCTAAAGACTATTTTTTTTGAAACCCTAGTATATATGCATATGTATTACAAGGCTGAACACCAAAGAATTGGTGCTTTTGGACTGTGGTGCTGGAGAAGACTCTTGAGAGTCCCTTGGACAGCAAACCAGTCAATACTAAAGGACATCAACCCTCAATATTCACTGGAAGGACTGATGCTAAAGCTCTTTGGCCACCTGATGCAAAAGAACTGACTCATTGGGAAAGACTCTGATGCTAGGAAAGATTGAGGGCAAAAGGAGAAGGGGGCAGCAGGGGATGAGATGGTTGGATAGCATCACCATCTCAATGGACATGAATTTGAGCAAACTCCAGGAGATAGTGAAGGACAGGGATGCCTGACATGCTGCAGTCATGGGGTAACAAAGAGACCAGCATTACTGAGCAACTGAACATCAACAACATTATTAAATATCATTATAGATATGCATATATCTCACTATGTATGTATACATTTATTAATATGCATATAGAGAGAACAAACATCTCCTAGTGAGTTATACTGTTTTGACTACATGAGAAGGACTCAGAACATCAGTGGGGAAGCAAATGAGAAAAACTCCAATCATCAGAAAGGAGGGTAGAGGTGGGACAGACGGCCGGTCAAAATTTGTGTCTCCAGTACAAGGAGCACAGGAGGCGGGACAAGAGGATGTCAAAGCTGTGTGGGCAACACGGAGGCTGTGGGGAGAGCCAGAGTCTTGGCTTCTTTCACCAGCACGAGCATGCAGTTGAAAAATAATAAAGCACTTTAACTGCAGGAAAGGTTGGTCTTTAAAATGCAGTGAACTGTTAACATTATTTGAATTCAGGATCCTCTTAGGATACCAAGATAATCTAAACATTCAGTAACTTTGTTTCTGCTAGGGAACAAAACTGAACAGCACCGCCTTACTAATTTCTTCACACCAGTTTTGATTTTGTTTATAGTCAACGCAGATTCTTTACCAGCTGAGACACCAGGGAAGCCCATGAATACTGGAGTGAGTTCAGTTCAGTCGCTCAGTCGTGTCTGACTCTTTGCGACCTCATGGACTGCAGCACACCAGGCCTCCCGGTCCATCATCAACTCCCAACTCCTGGAGTGGGTAGCCTATCCTTTCTCCAGCAGATCTTCCCAACCCAGGAATCGACCAGAGTCTCCTGCATTGCAGGCTGATTCTTTACCAACTGGGCTATCAGGAAAGCTCAAAGGGAACAAAACTGAACAGCCCGGCCTTACTTTCTTCACACTAGTTTTGATTTTGTTTATAGTCAATGAGAGGGCTTCCCAGGTGGTGCTAGTGGTAAAGAACCCACCTGCCAAAGCAGGTAGACGTAAGAGACACAGGTTGAACCCCTGGACCGGGAAGATCCCCTGGGGGAGGGCACAGCAACCCACTCCAGTATTCTTGCCTGGAGAATCCCATGGACAGAGGAGCCTGGCAGCCTGCAGTCCATAGCGTTGCACAGAGTTGGACACGACTGAAGCGACTTAGCACATATGCACACATAGCCAATGAGAAGATCTCATACTTTGTCCCCCTAGTTATTAAATGTTCTCTAAATTAAACAGCATGAAGATCATGGTACACCATCTCGTGACCTGTGAATATCTCTGTATGTGTAGTGATGCAGTGGTTTTTTCATGCCCGTGGCTGATGGTAGAGAAAACCATTAGCAGCATAAGGATGCCTGTTCTCAATTCAGCTGGATAACCTTGGGAGTTTTGCAGAAGGAGCTTAATACAACAGCAGTGTGACCCAGTGGGTGCCATTTCAGCTGAGGGAAATGTCAATGAAGGAGCATTGTGGCTACAACTTTGGCTGCACCCACCCAGAGGGCTCCCAGGGCTTCCTTGACCAAGTTGACGTGATGATCGTGGAGTTGGAATGTACAGGCAAGCTCACAAGGGGAGTGTTGGGTAGGTCAATATCACTCTGGAAGACCTTTGGGTTACTCCTACAGTTCGCGTGCTCTCAGGAGTTGGCTCAAGTTTAGGCACTGTGATATGCGGAAAACTGTGCCTCTGTGTCTTTAAGTCCCAAATCACACCAAGCCCAAGCGGGAGGCATTAGGCATGGAGACCAGCAAGAGGATCTCAGGCTAGCACCATGCTCAGTGAGAACAGCAGGCAGTCACCCACACCGTTACAGGATCTCTCTCTGGTTTGCGGGGAGGAGCCGGGATGGGGCAGAAGTGGTTGGAGCACTTGGAGTTGGTGTATATAAGAGGAAGTGTGGGTATGATGTCACTGTGTTTCCTCCAGAGAAGGTGCATGAGATACTTTATGGAATCAGACCTCACGGGAAGAGAACAGTGGCCTCCATGGAATGTGTCCACACAAATCTGGCTTCACAGTGTTTGGAGTGGGTGGCTGGGAGGCCCTGATGCGGAATATCCTGAGCTGGGGTAGGAGGGGGTCTTTGTCAGGAAGCAGGAAGGGTCTGCACACCACATGCAAAGCTGAAGACCCAGACTTGCCCCTGGTGGCTCCCGAATCCACCTGTGCTGCCAGAATAAGCACTGTCTTCTATAATTGAACTGCTTCCCTCACGACCTGACCGAGGCTACCTGCCTCCTCTGTTCCTCTCCATTGTAATTTCTACAGGGAAACAGTGGGTCACCTGTGAAACCCACTTTAGAGCTGCTCCTGTTCTCCTTATAGGGAAACCCAGGGAGACGAGTCTCCTTTCTAGAGAGTCAAGTTTTGTTTAGTGAAGTCATTTTAACTTTTCCCATCTGGATATAGAGAAAATATGCTGCATTTCCTTGATTTGTAAGCTCAGTGGCCAAAATAACCCAGAAAATGGGAGGAAATGGAGATTTTCACAGTCAACTAGTAAGAGCAGAATGCTCTAGGATGCGGTATTTCTTTTTCAGACGGGTACACCCTTGGGCCTTTTCATCTGCCAGGTGAATAACTAGATAAATGCAAAGACCAAAAATTACACAGGAAGAAACCAAACCCAATGAAATCCTCATTTGGGGTCATTGATTAAGCTCATTTGGGGTCATTGATTAAGGTTATGAGGCTTTTGTTATGCTAATTATGACTTAAAATTTACTCGATATGGAACTACATAACTTTTATCTTTTTAAATCAGGAGGGGCATTGTTTTCTTAATTAAGGAAATCCAGAGTATATTTAAAAGTATAATATATTTTAGCTGTGAAGGCATTGCTTATTAAAAAATATATGTAGGAAGTATACAGTCTATAGACTTGAGTTTCTCCATAAAAGAAAAGGATATTTTTGGAGTTGGCAGATTTCTAAAGTATTAATTACTGATACTGGCACAAGAAAAATATAACTAAATAAACAGAGACTGGAGGAAAATAGCCTATTCACATGTCACTGACCATTCACTTCCTAGAGTTTTGGGCATGATTCTCCTCTTCTTTGAGTCACTTTTGTCTTTTGAAAATATAATAGGTTCTTTGGTCTGTGAATACATGTATATGAATATATAAAGCAATTGATACAAATTATGCTTTATAATTATGCTTTCTTGCCTTGCTCCATGCTAAGAGAACAGGTACAATAAAAGAAATTCTATCATGGATTTATTTAACACTTTTTTGGGTTCTATTATTGAGGATTTTTTTTCTTTGTGAAGGTGTTACCACAGCATTACTCTCTTTCTACTAACTTGAAGTGAAAGTCAATCAGTCATGTCCAACTCTTTGAGACCCCATGGACTATACAGTCCATGGAATTCTCCAGGCCAGAACACTGGAGTGGGTAGCTGTTCCCTTCTCCAGGGGATCTTCCCAACCCAGGGATGGAACCCAGGTCTCCTGCATTGCAGGCACATTCTTTACATCTGAGCCACCAGGGAAGCCCTCTACTAACTTAACTAGTGTCTTTCACTAAAATTAAGACATGTGCAGCCTTCTGCATTCTTCCCCTTAAGACAGATACACCTGAAGGATTGTCCAAGACTCTGATGGGGAGACTGTGGGTCCACTTATGTGTTTCCTTTACTTCCTTGCCCAGTTGGCAATTTTCAGCCCTGTAGACTTTTCTTCTCTGTCCTAGGAGACTGGAGTGGGAGACCCATGAGGCTTCCTCCAGAGGACACCCCTTCTCAGTACCATAACATTAAACTTCAACCACAGAAACAGTGGCAGTTCACGTAATGAGCATTCACTCATTAAAGTCACAACTGAATGAGCACTTAGGAACCAAACTCAACAGGAAGAACGGTCTTGAACTGGTCCTCACCTCGTTCCTCAAGACTCTACAAGTCATTTATTTTACAAGCCAGGAGATCCTACTTAACCTCAGTAATTGTTACAGGGGCAATTATACATAAATTAAATAAAGATCTGAGTGATATGGCACTAGTTTACAACACTCAAAAATAATTTAGGCTTAGTATACACAAGGGCTTCCCTAGTGCCTCAGATAGTAAAGAATCTGACTGCAATGTGGGAGACCTGGGTTCAATCCCTGGGTTGGGAAGATCCCCTAGAGGAGGGCGTGGCAACCCACTCCGGTATTCTTGCCTGGAGAATCCCCATGGACAGAGGAGCCTGGTGGGCTACAGTCTATGGGGTCGCAAAGAGTCGGACACGACTGAGCGACTACGCACCACACAGTATATATACAGAATTCTGCTAGTGGGTCTGTAATATGTGAAGTCAGTGTTTTCCAACTAATTTTATTTTTCAGCTTATTTTATTACTTTTTCGCTTAACTGAAAATAGTCTGTTAAAAGGTCCTTTAACGTTCTATGCAATTTTTCACTGATAAAAATAAAAACATTCTAAAAACTGTAAAGATGGAAAAATAAACTTTTTTACCCTATTGTTTGGGTTCTACGGGAAAGAAACATCTAGAAGGAGGAGAAAACTTCAGGGGATCTGTATTGGTTCATAAAGTTTTTCATTATTTTTGGCTGATGTGAACAAAGCCCAGTTGTCTTTTAAACCTTAGCTATTTAAATGTGATTGAGGCTGTGTTTCCAGGTGTCTGGACTGTCCAAGGATTGCTTTCCTTGAGCCTTGTCCCACCAGATCAGTGTTTCTCTCTCATCTACTTCTGATCCATGAATGGGTCTCTTGCTTTATTTCCCTTGTGTGTGTGTGTGTGTGTGTGTGTGTGTGTGTGTGTGTGTGTGTGTTTTCACAAAAAGCTAGTTTATTTGTGCTGATTACCAGATTCCATTATCTTGCACATAATACTTTTTGGAACTGTTATGCCGGGGTTCATTCCAGTAATAGAAAGGTTCCCATCTGACCTTCGGCCACGCTCCCCCTCTTAGTGGACTGATGAGAATGACTACAATGACAGCTTTCAGCACGGCTGGCTGAATTCCAAAAAGTAATTAAGAGAATGGAATTGGATGCCGGAGGATGACTCATGCACAAGGAGGTGGCCAGATGGACAGACAGGGTCAACGCACAGTTCAGGGCACACATTCAGGCCTCCTGCTGTTTTTCATAACTTTCAACCCCAGTTGCCCAAGTGTTTCATGCATACAGATAACTCTCCACTGGCTGGGGGCTCATTTAGGTATTTGGAGTTCAGCCACCCATCCCTGTCTCTGCTGCTCTGACCATGAGCATTTCAGGAGAGCATGAACTTAGGTGGGGAGATGGCCCATTATCATCTCTTCCATGCTTGGATGACAGCCTCTGCAGTTCAAAAAAATAAAAATAAAAATTGGTAGGGAGAAGATTGACGTCCAAAGTCAATATATTTTAAGAATACTTAAATTTAGGTTTCATTTATTTGGTTCTGTTTCTGCCTTCTTTTGCCATAAATAACCAAGAATCTTCTGTATTTAGTTGAAAATGCTATTCCTAATAATTTTTTAAAAAAAAAATGTTTAGATTGAGCCATGTGCTCTGTGGTTAAAAGAAAGACGGAGGCCTCCATCCGGCTCACTAACCCGCAGAATGGACCATCATTGGCCGGGACCTGTGGGAAGCTGCACTGCCGTGGGAAAACCTCCGGCCCACGTGATCCGCCCGATCAGCCCGTCCTGCGGTCACCGGGTTTCCTAAAATCTAAAGACAAAACAATGACACGGTCATCAGTCTTGCCAGCCGTGGGAAGAAAAGAATTAACTCAGCCAAATCAAGTCAACTTAGAAGCAGAAGCTCTAAAGGCAACTAAACTTAGCTTTTAACTGAAAGGTTAGCTGAATAACCTGGAAGAGAAAAAGAGTGCTCACCCCAGGCACCCCGTCTTCTACAGCACAGTTGCTTTTCCGGGCGGGGCGAGAGAACCCCTCGGGAGGCATCTTTTTGTTGCTGGTACTGCCGCTGAAGCCAAATATTTTGAGCCATAAGTGAGAGTGGCTTAGATAAGCCTCGTCACGCCTTTGGTACCTCTTTTCTACAGTCTGCCCTCCTCCAGTGACCACAAAGGTGGGGAAAACACTGCATTTCCCACATGTCCCGCTTGGGCAAAGCTGTGTGCGAGGTTACCGAAAACTCAAAGACAGAAGTTTCTGTGCATGATCAGCTCTGAGACTCATGGCGCTGTCTTGACGCTAATCCAAAGACTTCCAAACCAATCACATTTCAGGGCTAACCCGAACTATTCTCCTTTAAGGATAAGTTTTGCCTCTGATTCGTACTAAAGGTTCGCATCCTATGCGAGAATCAAAGCAAAACCTCCAGCTCACTGGTGACTTAATTGAGGAACTTTTCAGGGACACGTAATGAATCAGGGCTGGGAGCTTCAGAAATGAGTTTGAACAGGAAGTGGGCTGCAGTTTGCGGGTGCGTCGGTAAACTGTGGGGTCGGCGCCCTCTAGTGGACATGTCGCAAACTGCACCGGCTCAAGCCCAAGGCCTGGCGCCCTGGGATGTCTCACCTGTGTTTTCATGGAAAAGTTCAGCATGACAGGAGCAAATGTTCTGAAAAGAGGACACAATATAGAGATGAATGAAGCCTTGAAGGAATCCCTACTCTTGAAAACCACTCACAAGCCTGGAAGACAAGGCCCGGGGATGTGTCTAGAGCTGATGATGGAAAATTCATTCAGAAAACTGCTCTCAGGAAAGAAACGTGAAAAAAAAAAAAAAAAAAACCTTTGGAAACAAATGCAAAAGTGGATCTCTTCAATAATTGTTCTCCATTTTTTTTCCAGTTATGGATGAACTAGAAAACCAACCACAACCCAAAACCAAAACAACCACCAGGAAAAAACCCTCAGTAAGTAATACCAGTCTGTCATAAATACATCCCCACGGCTCATTTTGAAAAGGACGTGTTGCCAAACTTTGGGAGAATCAGAGTTCAGCTAACCCTTAATTAAAATTTAGATTCAGTTGTCCTTTAATTAAAGCAGCCATAATCATCATTGATTTGGAGGTGGGAAGGGGATCATTATTCTAAAGCAAAGTAAAGAAATCATCAGCATGGTGAAAAGATTGGGAAGCTTCATAAATCAAAAATGCATGGAAAATGAGAGAGAGCCAGCAGAGAGAGTGCCCGGGACGGGCACCAAAACAAAGAAAGAAGGTGAAAGAATGAAAACGGATTGGTTTGGCAAGCGGATGTGAGCGGGAGGTTTACTTCACACACCAAAGGGCCATCTGCAACCCGGGGAGGAGGCTGGGCCTGTCGGGCAATGGCCCTACTGTCGGGCATTTTTATGCTTTTCTTCCAGGCATCTCGGAAATCCTCGCGGCCCGTGGGCTCATCCCAGCCGTACTTGCTGGGGGTGGACCTCTCTGGGCTCGGGTGGGGCTCATCGCTCCTGACGACGTCACCGGGCTCCACTGGCTCCCCAAAATCCTCTTCGATGCTGCTCTGCCGGGTCAGCGTCCGGCGCCGGGCCAGCAGGGGCCTCAGGCTCCTCCTACAAGGACAGTGCCCGGGCCCGGGGCTGCACTGGGCATTAGGGCTTCGGAAACTAAATCGCATCTCCTCCTCTTCACTGCCGCAGTCCAGGCCGCTGTCTGGGCTCCTGGTGGCCGAGCGGCTGAACCGACAGCCTCTGTCTTCGAATACGAGGTCGTCATCGGCCTGGGGGCCCCTGGGTTTCACGGGGTACCAGGAGCCTTGGAGGGCCTCGTGCCCCCGGCAGGGCCTGGCGGGCCTGGGCTCTCTGGCCAGCCCGGTCCTGACCCTGGAGGAGGACCCTAAGGCCTGCTTATGCAGGAACTCACAAGACTCTCCGTCCTCCTCTGCTACTTCAGGGATACTGAAAAGTCTCTTAGTGTGATGGGTCTGTTGAGGATACTCGGGTAACTCCGAGAAAGCACGTTCAGTGGTCCTATTCTTAGAGCACTCCTTAAGGGCGGGGGGGGGGGGGTGTTAGCACAGGTGCCGGGAGTCAGTGTATGATCGCATATGAAGGGGGGCAGAGGGAAGGAAAGAAAATACAGAGAGATTAGTCTCCGAGGCCATGAGGGACAGAGAGCATGCTTGTACTTGTGGTGGGGCGGGGGCAGATGGCATGCTCTGGCCAGGGCTCTGGAATGAAAACAGAATGGGTTACATGGATGGGGCCGGAGCCAGGGGGCCGAGCGCACGCAGAGCGTCCCGACGCCGTCAGGACTAGCCATGCAGCCAAACCAAGGAATGAGAGGCCGCTGGGCCGCGGGTGTGGGGAGGATGGAGGTAGGAGGCTTCACACTGACCGAGGCGCTAGGGTCTGTGACATGGCTGTGCCCAGAGGCCGGGGATGTCCGAGTTCACTGGCCGCTGGCTGCAGCCTGTGAAACTCCCAAGGCAGCTGCCCCAGGATGCCGGTGGGTGGAGACCATTCGCAACACAGAGGCCCCAACCCAGCCACGCCGCTCCACTCTGCTTGTCCCTGTAAGCACTCAGCATCCTGTGAAACCCACCTATGCCTCTCTCCCGGCTCAAGTCGAAGGGTGTGAACCCGGGGGACCTTGGCACTCAGCGACCCAAAGTCATTTGCTTGGCCCATGTCTGCAAAGGCTTGGGGCCCATCAGTCTCTCCTCCAGACCCCAGGCCCCAGGGCCGGGAGAGAGGAGCCGCATCCCCAGCAGTGTGGGCAGCAGGGGCTCAGGGCTGGCCCACCCAGTTGGAGGCCGAGGGTGGACACCCCACGCTTCCTGTCCTGGCGTGTGGTTCTCTCTCCAGGAATGGCTGGCACGCCCATCCCCGGCTCCCGCTGGCCATACCTCCTGGGACACCTCGCTGACTCCAGGAAGCCTGACCCCCACTTTTCCGCCCATAGGCCTCCGGGCATGTGCATTAGAGATGAGTTGTGGAGGAATATCAGGATTTGCTGCCCTGTCCTCACCCCCACGCCGCCTTGCAGATCCCAGGCACATGATGGGTTTACCCAGTGCAGCGTCTATAGCAGGCCTAGAGCCCACGAGAAAGCCAAATGAGGAGCATGGCGCACGCTTCGTTTGTTTGCTATTGAGACCCTGAGGTTTGGGAACCCTGGGGTGAAGGGCAGTAAGGAAGCAGGAGCGGGGCGGGAGCTGGGTGGGGATGCACGGGGTTCCGTGGGGCTCCCGCAAGGGGAGGTGAGCCCGGGCGGCCCAGATCTGGGCCCCACGGAACCCCGTGCATCCTGACTTTTAAAAAAATGTCAGAACCCTGTGGACGAAGTGAAGTGAGCTCAGCCCCACTGCCTGGTGGCCCGATTGTCCCAGCGGCTGCTCTAAGGGCGGCCAGTCTGGTGGGGGGAGGACGTGGGTGATTTTACGAACTAGCCCCTTTCCCTGGGAAAGACAAGGTGACCTTTGTTTTCTTTGCTAACAGTTGGCAGGAAGGAGCATCCCAGAAGCTTCCTCCATAAGGAGAAGTGGGGAGGCTGCCGGGGGCACTGGGGGGACGGGGGCAGACACCACCTCATCAGAGCACCCAGCAGCAGAGAAGTGTGGGGAGGCAGGGGCAGTCAGGCTGGACCACAGGCAGCTTGGGGCCTTCCTCCGCCATGAAGGTCACTGTGAATCCTGCTGGACAGTGGTTCAGGGAAGGAGGGACGGGGTCAGCCAGTGGGGGTAGCAGGGGCTGCAACCATGCGGGGTTTGCATAGGGATCTGGCATGTTCTTTGGTGACAGTGTCTCCAAGGCCCTGCCGGGCGCCTTTGCTGGGAGAACATAAGTCAGTCTGCTCTATGCAAGTGGGCACTGAGTTGGCAGCCAGATTTGGATGTTGCTTTCTGTCCACCATTCAAACTGCGTGGTTCCGTCTTCCTAGAGAAAGGCCGGGCTCTGGCACTGTATCCCCCAGCAGGACTTTCCTCTCCAAGGCCTTTTTCATTTGAAAACCCCCACAAAGGCCCAACCCGTCTATCTCCCCCGCTAGGCCTGCAGCTGCTGGAGCTCGGGGGCCACGTCTGTCCTCACCCCCCAGCCTGGCGGAGGGTCTGGTGCACAGGGTAACCCGCTTGTGCCGAGTGAACAGAAGCCCAGCTGGAGCAGGCAGTAGCAGCAGCGGCAACACAGCTTCTCAGACAAGGAAGGGGGTGCACCCCAGGAGTGGGGTCCATGGGGACCTCGAGCTCAATCTCCATCAAGGTGACCCTCATCAAACCCCTCGCCAAAAGCCACATCAGAGGCAGAGCCAGAGGATCCCACGATCCCTGGTGGGAGGTGTCTGAGAAGGGGCCTGTGTGTGGACCCCAGGAGGTCGACTGACCCTCCTCTGACCTCCTCTGAGGTCCCCTCCCCCTGGCCCTCCAGCCGTCCAGCAGGGTCCACCTCGGTCAATTTCACTAAAGAATCTCTTCCCAACTCCCCAGCTGCCCATCTCCAGTCAGACTCAGAGACAGGCTCCCGCCCTCCTAGAGCCTGCTGCTCTGCAGACGGACATGCGGCCAGGGGTTTGGGGCTGGGGGTGGAAGCTTCTCCTTTCTATTCTTTCTGATTGGGTTCTAAGTACAGAGCTGGGCGACCCAGGGATGCCTAGTGGATTCTCCCAGACTCCTTCACCCAGACTTTTGGCCAAGAGGAGGGTTGGGAGACCCCGAGCGCAGATTCAATAGCGAGAGAAGCCCATCCAAATCTGGGGACTGTGCCTGCCGGGCAAGGCCCCTCTGGAGCCAGCTGCACAGCCCCCCAAAGGAACAGGGATGGGGGACGGCGGGGACGGCGGTGGGGGGGGGCAGCGCCCCCGCACTGACCTTGAGGGCATTGTGGGACGTGCCGCTCGGCCGCCTCCTGCCCCCGTCCTCCAGCTGCATTTCAGAGTACAGCTCCTCCTCATCCTCCTCCATGATGTCCGAGAGGTCAGACCCCCGACTGCTCTCCGTGTGGTACTCGTCTCCATGGCAACAGTGTGGCTGGGGCAGGAGAAGAGGATGTGGATGGAGGGGCGACTCCAACACACGGAGTCCCGCACCCTCCCCTGCTCTGCCCACTCTCGAGCTCAGGGATGTGTCTGTGTGTCTGGGTGAGAACCGCTCACTCTGGAGGGGAGGGAATCACAGTCCCTGAGCTCATGGGGAGCCGGGATGGCAGAGAGAGGACCAGATCAGGCGTTCCCACTCCCAAGTCTGGACGGGGGCAGGCAGAGGCCCCTCCTGGGCTCCGAGCAGGACAGAATACACACGGGCAAACATCACTTTCCTAGGTACCAGTAGCCTCTCCAACTTCGTGGCTGGACAAAGATGCAAGTGAGAGGTTGTAAACACAGGTGGCAGCAGGCTCAGAGACATGCATGTATGTTGCATCTAGGGTCGTGCAGCAGACAGTGGCGGGTGGTGGGCAAGTAGGGGCATGTGCACTAATAAAGGTGTCTAAGAGTTTTAAGAAAAACATGGAGTCAAATTCACGCATATGCACACTGGGTTATTGGTGAACAGCCTGGTCTGGGTGGGGTGGGACCCCCCGTGTGGTGTGCCCACTCATGGCCAGTTTGGCCACCCACACTAGAGAAGACCTGCAACTGAGACTGCTTGGCAAAAAGCCTGGGGACAGAGGAAAGGGTCAACCGAAGAGCAAGTAGGAGAAGGAAATGGCAATCCACTCCAGTGTTCTTCCTGGAGAATCCCAGGGACGGGGGAGCCTGGTGGGCTGCCGTTGGATACAACTGAAGCGACTTAGCAGCAGCAGAGGCAATCTTGAGAAGGTTGATTTTTACAAACTTCTCCCTCCTCATGTCTTTTCTATTTTCCTTCACATTTTGGTATATTTTCATCTTCTCTCCTACTTTGTACATCCTGCGCTCATATTCTATAAACACGTGTGTTTTTCTGCATCTTTTATTTAACACAAGCACTTTCCACATTGTTCAAATTTTCTCCCTGAACAACCACAACATGAACGATCATACCTACTTTGTACATCCTGCGCTCATATTCTATAAACACGTGTGTTTTTCTGCATCTTTTATTTAACACAAGCACTTTCCACATTGTTCAAATTTTCTCCCTGAATAACCACAACATGAACGATCATCCTAATGACAAAACCAAATTTTAATCAGAACTTGTTTACCCATTAAAAAAAAAAAAGAGCAAGTAAAAGTAAGCTTGCTAACTGATGCATAAACCGAACCACCAGCCACCCTGATGGGGTTTGGGATGAGGGGCGGGTCCAACTCAGCAGCCCCTTCCCATCCACAAAGCAAGTGCCTCCCTCAGCAGCTCAGAGCGTTTCCAGCAGCTCATACAGCACACCTTATGAGCTCCAATTTAGGAGCCCCAAACACGCATAGGGGGCTTCCACAGTGGCTCAGGCAGTAGAGAATCCGCCCGCAATGTGGGAGACTGGGATTCGATTCCTGGGCTGGGAAGATCCCCTGGAGGAGGGAATGGCAACCCACTCCAGTATTCCTGCCTGGAGAATCCCACAGACAGAGGAGCCTGGTGGGCTACAGTCCATGGGGTCTCAAAGAGTCGGACCCGACTCCACAACCAACACTTTGACTTTTGACTTTGAAACACACACAAAGCTATTCTGCTTCTGCTGAACAGTGTTGATGAAGATCGATTTCTTTATTCTCCTGGTGGGCGACAAGACAAGTGTATTTAATAGCATCTTGTGACATGTTTATTAAGAACATCCAGCTTAGGGACTGCCCTGGCAGTTCAGTGGTTAAGATGCTGCACTTCCATTGCAGGGGACATGGGTTTGTACCCTGGTTGGGGAACTAAGATTCCCACATGCCGTGTGGCACAGCCAAAAAAAATAGGGGGAGGAAAAACTGCTCATTTGTGAAACAAATAAAACTTTAAAAAATGGTTTAAATTGCTCCTCTATATAAAGACATGGGGAGGCAGTGTGAGCGCCCAGTGAGGGGGGGTCCCACCAGGGGTCCCACCCCAGCTGAGCCCTCAGATTGGTGGCCTGGATGTTCTCAGTCGGAGAAGTCTGTGCAGCATCATTTGACCTGCTCCAGCCCTATTTCTTTCAATCAAGTGCCTTGGAGAAGACATAAAAGTGAATTGGTTTTAGATGAATAAACAAGCATCAGGTTGGTTTGAATGAGGGCTTCCCCAAGCAAATGGGAAGGAACTCCCCTAGAGAACACAGTCTCATTTGATCCAAACCCAATGATGAGTTAGTAATAAACTCATGGGATGGAAGTAAGTGTCTATTGTTTGCCAAATTTATCATGGATAAGACATTCATAGGAATCTCTTGGTGGTGGGCACATGACCCTGGTCTACTCAGTGAGATGAGAAGTCTGATGGAACTTCTGGAAAATGTTTTCCCAGAGCATGTTGAGGTTTGACAGAAAACAACAAAATTCTGTAAAGCAATTATCCTTCAATTAACAAAAAAAGAACACAGAGTTGGAACACAATTGAACAACTGAATCAACTTTGCAGCCTCCTCCTTGAGGCTTCCTGTGATGCGGAGAATGTAATGTCTTTGTTATCTTAGTCATTATTAGTTGAGCATTCCGTTTCTTGTGTTTACAAGAATACAAGTAGAATGATCTTAATCTTTTAGATAAAGAACCTGATGATTGGAGAAGCTGAGTCACTTGCCTGCCAGCAGTGGCAGAGCCAGGAAGTGACCCCAAGTATATGAGATTCCAAGGCCCTCTTCTCATGGAGGTACAGACACTGCCTTGCTGGAGAGCTATGTGTTGAGGGGACCGAAGGATCTGACAACTGAGAGGACATCACTCTCTGATATCTCAAGATCTGAGGACTCTTCTGGCCCCACCCTTCCCTGCTGCCCAGGACTGGGGCTTGACACCATTCAAGGACATTTTCATTAGAATGTGCATGATCAGAAATTGGAGACAGAACCTATCTTGGATGGATTTGTCACTTGTGAACCTTGTATGAGAGGAGAAGCCCTGACATTTCATCTCTCCAAGGGTGGGATATGGACCTTTCAATTTCTGAATCTCCCATGATGCATAGCACTTAGCTGATGCACATCACACACCCGGATGAACAAAAGTAAAGAAACCAATGGTAGGTTTTGCCTACATTGAGACCAGGTGGTCACCTGGAGACTCACGTGATGCACAAAATCAGCCCATGAACGGATCCTCGGACAGGGCAGTTGGGAGGGCAAAAGGTTCACATACAGACTTTTGATATTGTCCCCCAGTGAGGTCACAAATGCACAGGCACCGTTCAGTCTAAACTCTCCAAACTGACTGTGATTGTTGTCACCCACAAGATAAAGGTCTGTATCCCTTTATCTTTCTCACAGACCCAGGGCGTGCAGGGACCTGAACCCCTCCCACAGGGAGCCACCATGGTGGGAGTGGAGTGGGCAGAACTCACCGGTTTGCCCAGCTCCGAGCCTTTCAGGAACTCATCCACAGATGCGCCCCTCCTCTTGACGTCCGGGGACTCGTAGCCATCCTCCTCGTCCGAATTTGCATACTGTCCGCTGCTCCTCTCCAGGAAGACGCTCCTTTTCTCTAACTTGGGAGAGGAGAGGGGAGGCGTCAGGGCAGAGGCCACCTTGGGGCCCTGACCTCCCGCTTGGAGCAGATGAACTGGGCACCCTGGTAGATGGCTTCACCCAAGGAAGAGAGACCAGTCCTGGGTGTTCATTGGAAGGACTGATGCTGAAGCTGAAACTCCAGTACTTTGGCCACCTGATGCAAAGAGTTGACTCATTGGAAAAGACCCTGATGCTGGGAGGGATTGGGGGCAGGAGGAGAAGGGGATGACAGAGGATGAGATGGCTGGATGGCATCACCGACTTGATGGACATGAGTTTGAGTAAACCCCTGGAGTTGGTGATGGACAGGGAAGCCGGGTGTGCTGCGATTCATGGGGTCGCAAAGAGTCGGACACGACTGAGCGACTGAACTGAACTGCAGGAAGAGAGGGGCAGGAGCAGGGCGTGGCCTAGCTCAGCTCCACCTCAGCTCTCCTGTATTCCTTCACGGGTGTTTCCTACAACTTCCCATCTCATTGCACATTTCACTTGGGACGTGGTCCCACTGTCATCCAAATACTCCCCCTCCCCAGGACCCAGGCAATTTTGAGTGACAGGCAGACAAATATATGTATGTGCCTGCACTTCTCCATGTAAGTGTGTATGTATACCTGTATTAGTCACTCAGTCGTGTCCGACTCTTTGCTCAGTCCCCCTCAGGGACTCAGTCCCCAGGGACTGTAGCCTCTGTCCATGGAATTCTCCAGGCAAGATTACTGGAATGGGTTGCTACTCCCTTCTCCAGGGGAATTTCCCAACCCAGGGATTGAATCCGAGTCTCCCACGTTGCAGGCAGATTCTTCACTATCTGAGCCATCAGGGAAACACGTCTGTATGTATACATATGTGTATATAAGTGTCTCTCTGTGCATATGCATGTATACATACACCTGTATGTATGTCTGTGTATGTACACACACACACATACACACACACAGCTAGAAGTCTGAAGTGAGTGAGCCAGAAGGTGACCCTTGTTTAGGAAGATGGGTCCCCAAGCCGACTCCCAGGAGGCACCTCAGATCCCTGGACAGAGACCACCCGGACAGTGGGTTGTTAGCCCCTTTGCTAAGCCAGGCTGGTAGATAACCATTTCCTCTGGTTTTCTAGGTCCATATCTATGAAATGGATCCTGATTCCATCAGGATAAGACCTAAGACTGATCAGATAAACAGGGAATCCTTCTTCCCAAGTCAAGGCAGCCATTCTCGGGGGCTGGGTGTTTGGGGCGCTTCTCCCCACAGACTCAGGGTGCGGATGGGAGATTCCATCACAGCTGGGCTGCGGGGATGAACTGCATTCCGTGGGGAGCTGAACCAGTGAGGAAAACACCTGGCCTTACCCTGCTGCTCTCAGCCACCCTCTGTGCGGCTTCCCGGGCCATGGCCTTGGCGACCGAGGTGGAGACCGGGGTGCCCTGCGGCTGCGGGAGGATGCGGCTGGGCGAGGGCGACCGCCGCCCGGGGCCCGAGCCCTGCAGGCCGGGCGGCTCCAGCAGGTGCCCGTGGGCTGGGGCGGGTGCCCGGCCGTGTTCCCAGGCCTCGTCCATCGCAGCGTGGGGACCCGGGTGCTCATCTTTGGTTTCGGGGGCTCCGGCACTTGCTAATGGCTTCGGTGTGGGAGCAGTTCTCGGGTGGGGGGTTGGAGGCACCAGGAGGTCAGGGGGAATGGCAGCAACAGCAGAGTCCACGGACTCGCCCTGGGCAGAGAGGGTCCGCACGGTCACGCCCTTGGCTTCCAGGCTGCGCAGGCGTACCAGCTCCACGGCCGTGCAGTCCGCTGTGGGCGAGATGATCTCAGCGACCTGTGCACAGAGAAAGCCGGCTCAGCTTGGGGATTGCCTGCGCCCCAGGTCCCCCAGACGCCTCCCGGCCCTCCCATGGACATCCAACTCAGACCACGCTGCACAGCCTGCAAATCAGATCCGTCTGGAGCCCCAGTTCCCGCCCATATGTTGGCGGGTTGGAGGGACAGCTGAGCACACGCTTTTCTTCCACGTCTAGAACCAATCTAGAAACAGATGCGGGGGCCACAGAGGAATCAGAACACTAGGCTCTTATTACTGCCAAAGCTCAGCTCGAGGAAGATGCCACGGGGAGGCCACAACAGACGGGCTTCCGGCTGTGGTGGAGGCATGTCTGTGGACCCCTCCGGGGAGGGGAGCAGGGATCAGAGAGGGGCCTTTCGGCCTACAGCAGTCACTCTCACAGAGAGAGCATCTGATACACCACCTCCTGGCTGTATGGGGAAATGGGGTGGGAAGGGTGGGGAACAGACAGAAGCTTGCTCAGGCCCCGCCCCCCTAAAGCAGCCCTGTCTATTTCATGTACCAGGACAGGGATGGGGGCTGAGATTAGGGGCTGCCCGATCGTGCGCATTAAGGATTCTGCAGTTTCCGAGGTGTTTGGACAAGACTACATCTCCCCAAGAATAGATATGGTGGAATCCACAAGCCCATCATCTATTGAGGGGGCCCTGATGTCATGGGACTCAAGAGAAGTGAATTTTTGGTAGCCAGAGGGGAACAAGAAAAGGGACTACCATCAGACTGGGGCAGGTAACCAGCGTGGGAGGGGGGCAGAGAACATTCTGCAAAGAGGATGAAGCAGAAAAGGATGGAGGTTCTCCGTGTTCTACAGCTTGGCCTGGGGTGGCAGTGTAGGGGATGCTTAGTAACTGCTAGTGGGTCTTGGGGATTGAGGAGAGAGGGAGGATCACCCCCTGCTGAGTGGTGAGCAGTGGCCGGGTGGCCTGGATGTGAGCACCGCCCCAATAAAAACTCACCCTCTGCCCTTTTGCGTACACGCCGTAAAACTCACCCTCTGCCCTTTTGCGTACACGCCATAGCCGGTAACATTGGCTCCATTGGATAGCCCAGTGGCCGTCAAAGTGGGCGGCCTCCAGGAGACCTGGACGGTGGCTGGGGTGGTCCCAGCTTGGACAGCAACATCTTGTGGGGGTGCTGGAGGACCTGGGGGGACAGAGGCAGAGACACTTTCATGACATGACTCCTTGGCAGGCAAGCTGCTGCCATGCCTGACCAGCCAGTGGCACCTCGGAACGAGATCTTTCATTACAGCCTCCAGGGGACGAGGGGAGAATCCGAAGTGTGATGGCAGATCAGGAGGGCCAGGAAGTAGCAGCTCCCGGATGCACGCCAGGCCCTCCTGGAACCCGCTCCCGGTGCTCGGTCCCCAGGCCAACCTGCGACTCTGGCTTGGCCAGTCAGCCACCAGGTCCCAGCATTTGCAGAGGAAAGAGATCCCCACTGCCTCTCTCCCTGTGCCCCGTCCTCCCTCCAGTTGCCTCCATCCCTCCTTCTCTCTCTCCATCGGACTTGGGGGCAGTAAACTGGACCACACAACACCCATCTTGCCACCTCGAGAGAGAAGATGGAACCAGAAGCTGGAGAGAGGTGGCTCTGATGAAGCTACCAGGATGCCAACTCCACACACACACATTGCCCGGCGGACCAGCTGAGACACTTGCTTTGAAAGTCCTGAGCAGCTACTTCAAGCAACAAGGAGACAGGTGTCACATCACTGGTCCTTCCCAGTGGCTCCTGGTGACAGCAGGACTGCCCGTCTGCCCTACAACCCTCGGGCAGCTCCCTTGCCTTCGGTTCTGGTGCAAAAGTCCTATGTTGTCATTGTTGTTGAGTTGCTAAGTCGTGTCTGACTCTTTGTGACCCCATGGACTGTAGCCCACCAGGCTCCTTGTCCATGGGATTTCCAGGTAAGAATACTGGGGTGGGTTGCCATTTTCTTTTCCAGGGGATCTTTCCCACCCAGGGATCGAACTTGAGTCTCCTTTGTCTCCTGCATTGGCAGGCACGGATTCTTTACCACCGAGCCACGCTAGAAGCCCCAAAGGTCCTAAAACTATAGCGTTATATTTTGAAAGAAATGTGCAACTTCCAGGAAGGAGGCTATGAGCCTCCTCTTCCAAGACCTTGCTGTGGCCCTGCGGATTTCTACATAAACGAGGAAGGGCTCTTTGCTGAAGCTTTTCTACTTGCTGCTCATTCTGCTACTCACTTTGGACACCTGACATCACTTGATTCACACAACAGTCCTGTGAGTTTAGCACATCCTCATTTGCAAATGAGGAAATTAAGGTTCGAGAGAAGCCGCTCAGCTGTCATGTGTTGGAAGCTGGGCTGGCTTTGTAGTTTATGATGCGACTCCACCCTCAACGCGCTGTGATGCGAGGCTTCCGAACTGCTGAGCAACTGGGATCAGAAGTTAGATTTAACCTGGATGGTTCGGCTCTGATGATGGCTCATTATCCTTAAGGGTGTAGGTCAAGAACTGAAACTGGCCTGGGGGTTTGCTGGACGCCTGCTTCTACTAGCACGGCAGTAACAGTGGCGGGCCAGGGTTCTGAGAGTGGGGAAGACCTGAGTAGCTGTGACCTGCCAGCTCCGGCCCAGCCCTCCACGGGCCCAGAGGTGGCTCTCTGTCACGGGGGGGTGTTTGGTCCAATCACACACCTCATGCATGTCACCTGTGTCATTTCCACGATTGAAACTCCCCTCCTTCTGGGCAGGCAAAGGAGCTAGTCTGCTATGGACTGACTGGACATTTGTGCCCCACCAGATTCATACAGCATTCACAGAAGGCAGCTGTGGGAGGTGATCAGGTCTCAAGGCTGGAGGTCCCCTGAACAGGATTCGTGCCCTTATTAACAAGGTGCCATCTACCAGGTGAGGATGCAGAGGAGACACCATCTATAAACCAGTAAGTGGGTTCACCAGACACTGAGTCTGTCCAGGCCTTGATCTTGGACTTCCATCCTCCAGGACTGTGACAAATAAGCGTCTGTTGTTGATAATCTACTCAGTTTATGATACTTTGTTATATATCAGCCCGAGCTAACTAGGACACCCAGGAACTGGGTGTGGACCTGTAGGATCCTGCCCTGGGCTCAGCATTTCCTCTTGGTTCTCATCTCTCTCCATCTCAGTGAGCTTCTTCACGAAGCCTTTCCTGGCTGTCCTAATGGATGCGCTTCTCACCTCTCCTTGGAGCCCCTGGGGTCCCCAGATTTGGTGTTTCTCACTTCTTCACCCCCAGCAAGGACAACAAGACTTCATGGCAGGAATCAAAGAATAGCTCCGATCTGCACAATAAGTCCCCTACATACAAACAAGCTCTGTTCTGAGAGTGCGTTCACAAGTCCAGTGTGTTCGTAAGTCCAACAAAGTTAACCTAGGTGCCCAACTAACACAGTCAGCTATGTAGTACTGTACTAAGGTTATAATACTTTTCTTACAAATAATACATAAAAATAACAAACACAAAAAATAAAGAAAGCATTTTAATCTTACAGTACAGTACTTTGAATAGTACAGTAGTACTATATAGCAGCTGGCATCGGGTGGACAGACAAGAAGAGTTCCTGACTGGAGGAGGGAGAGGAGGCGGGAGATAGTAGAACTGAAGGATTATCTGCAATAGGAGATGGAGGGCAAGCTATCTTTTCACCTCAATTCACACTTTCAACTTTTCTCACTTTTGTTTCCATTGTTATCACTTAGCACTTCTTAGCAGTACCAGCTATGTCACCGCTGCTTTTAAGCTTGGTTCCAGACATCCTGGACTTGAAATAAAGATACTGTACTACTGTCCTCTATGTAGTACTTGTAAAGTACACAAAAGTACAGCTGCTTGTAGAGGATGCACGCATTTGACAATGTATGCCAGACACGGGGCTAACTTCCATGACTGGACATTTGAATGCACGTTCACATCTTTGAATGTGCACAACTTGAAGGCTCAAATGTAGGGGACTTACTGTATCTGCAATTAACATCCCCATAGGCAGGAAATCTAACATCACCTTATAAGATGAATGAATGGACCCTTCATAAATCAGTTACTGCTCAGACCCACTTTCTCCTTGAAACAGTGTCTGTCCCAACTGCCCCTGACCTTGCTTCTTTGTAGGTTACATTACTCTAGGCTTGCCAGGTGGTGCAGTGGTCAAGAATCTACCTGCCAGTGCAGGAGACACAAGAGATATTGGTTTGATCCCTGGGTTGGGAAGATCCCCTGGAGGAGGGCATGGCAACCCACTCCAGTATTCTTACCTGGAAAATTCCATGGACAGAGGAGCCTGGTGGGCTACAGTCTATGGTGTTACAAAAGAAGTGGACATGACTGAATGACTGAGCATATAAGCACAGGTCAGACTCCAGTCGATGATGGATTTCATAAAGAGTGGAGAGCAACATGCAATAAAAAGTAAATCCATTGCAAAATGGAGGGCCCATCTTGCATTAGATATTAGGCTTTCTGCAGCTGGTAGAAATGATCCTGGAGAACCACTGAGTTGTTTGTAAAACCAGCCTGACAACTGAGGTTGGGCAGAACTGGATTAATTTAATCACAGAAGACAAATCCAAGGAAAGTATCCAGACATACGTTTCAAGGGAATTCTGTGAACATCACAGGACTAAGAAAGGCCACTGAAAAATCAAAATAGGCCCGCGAATGTTTTTGCAGACACGATCTTCTTTGCTCCAGGAAGGCTGCTCCTCGCAAGTGTTCAGGCTCACACCCTGGGCCTAGCTGTCTTGTTCAGAAGGGCAGTCTGTTTTTGGGTATGCCAGAATGTTCGTTAAGATTTTATGGAAAACCCCAAGTGAACTTTTTGGCCAACCTAATATGTGTGCCCCAGCCAAGATGAGCATGATGGAACTTTATGGAGATGACCCTTAACAGCTATAGCATCCGAATAAATCACAGGATGGGAAGACTCCCACAGGCTCGTCCATTTCATCCTATCTCTTTATGGTTTCCCCGGAGGGAGTAGGTGGGGGACTGGGAGAGGGATCACCCCTCCTCCTGTTACAGCTTGGAAGTCAGGGAGGAAGGTGGGGTTCCCCTAGCAGACAGAGGTGTCTAGAACCCCAAATCGTATCCACAACAGAACTTCATGTCTTCTATAGCCATATATATACCAGGAGAAAACATGAGGGACTTCCCTGGTGATCCAGTGATTCCCAATGCAGGGGGCCAGGTTTCACACCTAGCCCAGGAACTAGATCCCACATGCTGCAACTAAGACGTGGCACAGCCAAATAAATAATATGTGTGTGTGTGTGTGTGTGTGTGTCCATGCTATTGTGTCTGACTCTGCGACATGTAGCCTGTAGCATGCCAGGCTCCTCTGTTCATGGGATATTTCCAGGCTAGAATACTGGAGCAGGTTGCCATTTCCTTGTCCAGGGGGTCTTCCTGACCTAGGGATTGAACCCCCATTTCTTACATCTCCTGCACTGGCAGGCAGATTCTTTAACACTAGTGCCACCTGGGAAGCCCATAAATACATACATACATAAATAAATATTTTTTAAAAAAGAAAACAAAAAGAAAAAATGAGAGCGAGAGAACAATTGTGAGAGCGCTACAGGCACCCTTTCTCTGTTCCTCTCAGTGAGCACGTGTCCAGGAGTCGGTGGCCCCAGGAAGACAGAGCTTCCCGCCCCCTAGGATTCTCCCATTGTTTCCTGTCTGTAGGATGAGTGTCTTACAGATGCAAGCATTAAATATGTCCAAAAACACGGCCCCAAACAGAATTGGAGTTCTCTCTCCCGCTCCCTCCATCTCTCTCTGTCTCACACACACATTCGCGGCTCATGCATCCCAGCTGATTCAAGGATGCTCCAAGACAGTACTGGCTGTCTGCAGCTCCCCTCCCGCGGCCCCCTCCTGCCCCGCCACGTGCACAGGGTGACATCCTGATGTCCCCTCCCTTAAGGGGACCCCTCCCGGAAAGACAGCTCACCTGCAGGCAGCGTGGAGAACTCCACGAAGGCCTCCTTCCTCTCCCTCTGTTCCAGGGGGAGCTGCCAGGGCATCTGATGGGGCTTGGCCAGGACCTTCACCTTGTAAGCCATGTTGGGCCTGAGGTTGCAGAACTGGTACTTGTACCTGGCAGCCCTGACGACATCCAACTCCTGCTCGTTGAGGAAGATGACATGGCTGTAGTTGCTGTTGGTGGGCAGCCAGGACAGCTGGGCAGAGATCTGGGTGATGTTGTCCACACGCAGGTGGGAGGGAGCCACCACCACGTCCTTGCCCACCAGCAGTGTGCACCGCAGCTCGTCCGAGCTGCCCCGGCTGGTGACACTCTGCACGGAGATGCGGTAGGTGCAGGCTGCCATGTTGAGCTTCTCCACCAGGGCCTTGGTCCTGCCGCCCAGAGCCAGGCTCAGGCGCGTCTCCGCGTCCACCAGCACGTTGTAGCTGTTCACGGTCCCCCAGCCTGGGGGCACTGCCGGGGGCTCCCAGCCCACAATGACACTTTTGGCGAGTTGTTTGATGAGGGTGATTTTCCGAGGGTAAGGCACGATGTCTTCTCCGATGTCGTCAATGTTCACGTCCAGTGTCCCTGCCCCGTGGTCAGCGAGGCCAGAGTCCGTGAGCGTTGGAGAGTGGAGGTCCAGAATGTTCTCGCCCTCCGAGCCGACGCCCGCATGGTTGATGAAGTTCTGATCCTGGTCGTTCCCCAGCGTGCTGGCCAGTCGAGACTCGTTGTCCTGGATGAAATCCACAAAGTTGGAGGGCACCAGGCCCCGCTGCCCGTCCAGAAGCTCGCCTGTGGGGCCAGGGACAGGGTTAACACCTGACCGCCCCATGGGGGCCCCCAAGGTCCTGCGGTGGAGTCTGCACCTCCCCCCGAGGGGACCATACGGAAAGCAACGGGGTGACGTTGGATTCCTCAGTTCTTACCAGGAAGCACTTCAACGTCACCTCCTCAGGAACCCCCTATCCTGAGTCTGTACCCCACCACCTGCCCTCTGCCGCCCCCATCAGTCATGCTGATGTGCATCAGTGCCGCCCCTGCATCAGTCATGCAGTCTTCCTCCCATAGTGCCTATCACACCATGATCATCCCCTGCGTACAGGTGTCAACCACCTCTGCTAATCCGGATGAAGGTCTGGGAGGGCAGGGACCTGTTCTTTTTCTAATTGAAGTATCATTGCTGTACAATGTTGTATTAGTGTCTGCTGACAACAGCGTAAATCAACAATATGTATACCTATATCCCCTCCCCCCCATTCACTGCACCCCCACCCCTCTAGATCATCACAGAGCATCTAATTGAGGTCCGTGTGCTATACAACGACTTTTAATGAATGGGTAAAGAATATGTGGTACAAATGTAAAATGGAATATCACTCGGCCATAAAAAGGAACAAAGTTGGGTCATTTGTAGTGATGTGGATGGACCCAGAGTCTGTCATTCAGAGTGAAATAAGTCAGACATAGAAAAACAAATCATACCGTAGTGCGTGTATGTAGGGAAGTGGTACTGATGAAGCTCTCTGCGGGGCAGGAATAGAGAGATGCATACATAGAAAACAGACTTGTGGACACAGTTGGGGAAGGAGAGGATGGGATGATCTGTGGGAAGACAGGGACCTTTGTTCCCCACTGGCCCTAGAGCAACACCTGGCACACAGAAGGTGTTCAGTAAGTGTTTATCAGAAGCATGAACATGTAAAATATGTGGGTTTGGAGGCTAAAATAATTAACACATCTTACTCTGATTTTTGATTGAATGATGACACAAATGGCAATTAAAAGGTGACTTTCCCCCTCCTTGCAAAGCAGTATGTCCATCTTACCCCCCACCCCTCTAGGTCATCACAGAGCATCTAATTGAGGTCCGTGTGCTATACAACGACTTCTAATAAATGGGTAAAGAATATGTGGTACAAATGTAAAATGGAATATCACTCGGCCATAAAAAGGAATAAAGTTGGGTCATTTGTAGTGATGTGGATGGACCCAGAGTCTGTCATTCAGAGTGAAATAAGTCAGACAAAGAAAAACAAATCATACTGTAGTGCATGTATGTAGGGAAGTGGTACTGATGAAGCTCTCTGCAGGGCAGGAATAGAGAGATGCATACATAGAAAACAGACTTGTGGACACAGTTGGGGAAGGAGAGGATGGGATGAACTGTGGGAAGACAGGGACCTTTGTTCCCCACTGGCCCTAGAGCAACACCTGGCACACAGAAGGTGTTCAGTAAGTGTTTATCAGAAGAATGAACATGTAAAATATGTGGGTTCGGAGGCTAAAATAGTTAACACATCTTACTCTGATTTTTGATTGAATGATGACACAAATGGCAATTAAAAGGTGACTTTCCCCCTCCTTGCAAAGCAGTATGTCCATCTTAGCAAAATTCCCCAAATGTGTCCATTTGGTGGGAAACAGAAATGATCTCCCTGGTGCCAGAGCCTCCCATAGGCTGAGTGGCCAAAAAATGCCACAAACTAGCTCTTGCGGCCACAGGCGATCCCAGCGGGGATCGCTTTTTGTTTCAGGAAATGGTCTCATTTCTGTGTGTTCTCTTTATTCGTGGGGCATGACAGCCCACTGAGAGCAGAGCCCTGGAAAACTGTGAAGTGTTTTGAAGAACTTCAAAGATGACACAGTTTGGATAATCTCACAATATCAGCAGTCAAGGGCTGTTTGTTTTCCTGATTTGTGGCAGAAAAGGCTTGACTAGGGGTCCAGGGGTCTGGCAGGCTGGGAGTATATGAAATGAACAGTGGGTTCTGCTCCTAACAGACCCTTCCCCACTACAGGGGATATGTGATGGGCCCAGGAGAGGGAGGCTGACCACTGAACTGGTCCTGATTCTTCCAGAATCAATGAGAGTCTGAATCTGCTCCTGTCCCCAGCTCCTGCCCCCAGTTGGTCAGTCTTTGCCTTGAGGATGCTCTGAAAACAGCCTCATTTGACACGAGGGAAGAAGGAGGAGGGGGATGGGAGTGATGGCAAGTGCTATGTACCAGGCCCCCACTTCAGACCCCACACCTTCTTCCTTATTTATCCTCACAGCCACCCCTCAAGTTGGGAACTGTGACCCTCTATCTGCACAGTGATGGGAGGTACTTCTCCCCTGTCACATGGACAGAGCACTGAACCTTGCCGCCTGCCTTTAACCCAGCCTCCAGAAAGTCTACACGGGCACAGTGCTGATGCAAATATTCTAGAGAATATTTCTAGAATATATTTCTGGCAGCCACCCTGGGCACACAGTTCTCCCTCGGTGTGCACGTCGGTGATGGCAGCGTGAATCTATGTTAAGAGCTCAAACTGTCTTGCCACTAGTCCTGGTGAAATTTCTCGGGTGGTCCACTCACAGCCATGCCTCTGTTCCCCCGGTAGCAAACGGAAAGCAAGAATTTAAAGGAGCTCAGATTCCAGTATCTTGCCAGACAGAAAACCAGCTAAGGCTGGGCTGCTGTCCTCCATGGATGCCACCAGACCTCAGGCCAAGACATCAACACCCAGAGCCAGGAGTGTGGCCGAAAGCTCCAAGAAAACTCCATGAGGTCACGAAAGAGAAATCAGCTTGTTTAGTAAGAAATAGTTTTTTTCTGCTCAGAGGAAACCAAGACTCTTCTATTAGGGCAACAGAAAAGTTGAGGGAACCGAGAAATCTGGACTTATGAAGCTGCTGGGGATGTTACATGCTCCTCCTCTAGCTACAAAAGTGACCAAGAGTATGAGTTTTGGGTGGAGGAATTCGAGATTCCTGATTTCACACTGTGGCAGGTGCCCACGAAGGAAGTGGTCAGGCAGGAGGTGAGGTCAGACCGCCCAAGGTTAACAGTAGAGCCTGAAGGTCAATGGGAGCACTGTTAACCAGGTGAGGTCACCTGAAAGGAGCCTTGGCCCTGCTGGGGAGAAGATGCTGTGCAGTAAGACGGGGACGGTGTGGAGACACACTTGTGTGTCAGCTCCCCGTGTCTGCAGTAGCTCCTGGGAAGCTCAGTGGATGTGAACGTGAGATGGTGTCCACTCCATGTCACAGGGTTGTTTGGGGTTAAAAATAGGAAACCCCACTCAGTCAACCAAAAGGGGAACAGACACCTCTGATTCTGGAGGGCAGGAAGGTCAGAGAGGAGACTGGGGTGGCCAGAAGTGATGGGGGCCCGGCCCTGACCTGGCTTGCATGTGCCCACTGCCCACCAAGCTCTCACTGACCTTCATAGAAGCCGTCCTCATCCATGTCTCCATAGACGTAGAGATACTTCCCTGCCGTGAGGGGCAGCTCAGCCTCCGGGTTTTCATTGGGCCCATCGAAGGGGTTATAACTAGAGGGAGAGACAAACCCACCAGATAAGGCTCTGGGTGGAGACGGACATCAGCCCATCCCGTCCAGAGCGCGGAGACCTCCTGTCTGCTCCTCCTGTCTGCTGTCACCTGGATATTTTCTTTTTCTTTCTTTTCTTTAAAAAAATTTTTTCTTTTGCCTGTATATTTTAGATTCATGCAATTGGTTTGGTATCTGTGAGTTGTCTGTGCTCTGAAAACTCGGACCACTAATGTCTCAGCTCACACAGATTTAAAGCTAAATGGTGATTCTGCAACCAAGCTGTATACTCAGAGTCCTTCGTATCAGATGTCATTTGTGTGTGTGTACACATGTACTCAGTGTGGAATCATATAATTCCAAATTATATTGTGGCTCCCTGGACTGCAGCCCACCAGGTTCTTCTATCCATGGAATTTTCCAGGCAAGAATACTGGAATGAGTTGCCATTTTCCTTCTCCAGGGTATCTTCCCAATTCAGGGATCAAACCCATGACCCTTGTGTCTCCTGAATTGGCAGATGAATTCCTTACCACTAGCGCCACATGGGAAGCCCAGAAGATGTTTAAATGATTCCAAATTATAGGTTTTAATAAGCTTCTAAATTGGCAAGCAAAGTTAAAAGCTACTAAGGACTTCCCTCGGAGAAGGCAATGGCACCCCACTCCAGTACTCTTGCCTGGAAAATCCCATGGATAGAGGAGCCTGGTAGGCTGCAGTCCATGCGGTCGCTAAGAGTTGGACACGACTGAGCGACTTCACTTTCGCTTTTCCCTTCCATGCATTGGAGAAGGAAATGGCAACCCACTCCAGTGTTCTTGCCTGGAGAATCCCAGGGACGGGGGAGCCTGGTGGGCTGCCGTCTATGGGGTTGCACAGAGTCGGACACGACTGAAGCGACTTAGCAGCAGCAGCAGCAAGGACTTCCCTGGTGGTCCAGTGGCTAAGACTCCAGGCTCCCAGTGCAGGGGGCCTGAGTTCAATCCCTGGTCAGGAAACCAGGTCCTACATGCTGCAACTAACACTGGCAGAGGAAAATTAAAAAAAAAAAAAAGCAATTATAATGTTTCAATACATTTTATTGAGGGATGGTAGAATTGTATGACATATACTATTTAGTTATCTGTTTACCTTTTACACTTTGTAATATGACATGATTATCTTTTCCCTCATGAAAGACTCTATCATATCCATTTTAATGGTTATATAATATTCCACTGGATAGACTAACATTCTTTAATTGATCCCATGTTGGGCATGGATATTTCTTCAAATATTTGGCTGATATAATTAGTGCTATATCCAATGTCCTTATCAACATATCTTTGCTCACTTGCCCCCTTTCTTCCTAAAGATGAGTCCCTAGGAAGTATACTTGTTTGGCCAAAGTCATGCACATTTTAAAGGTCTCGGGTATGTTCAGCCAAAATATACTGAAAATGATGCACATTTTATCTTCCCCTCTCTACCAGGACTATAAAAATGCCCATCTTTTCAAGTCCTCAAGATATTGGAATTAACATTTTAAAAAATCACCTCCAACTTGCAAAAAGAACTTGTGAGATGAATTTTTAATTTTCTAATTAAAAGATTGATTAATTAAAATAACAGGAAAGGCCTCATCAAGAAAAAGAAAATGTGACATGACTGATCATGGCAGATGATTGGATAAACAAAAGAACAGAGTTTCACTCATTGTCCTGTCACACAAGGGGTGAAGCCACAGCCCCTGGGGCCACCCAGGGACAGTGTGCCCTTGAAGGATTCGGGATGGAGAAAATAGAATAAGGCTTCTGTGGTTTCGGTAAGATGGGCATCTTAAGAAAGAATTTCAGTGACTCCAGATTCTGGCACCTTCCCAGACATACAAAAGCACTAAAATCATTAACTTGAGAACCGTGTTCTTTGTGATCAGTAGGGCTTCCCTGGTGGCTCAGAGGGTAAAGCGTCTGCCTGCAATGCGGGAGACCTGGGTTCGATCCCTGGGTTGGGAAGACCCCCAGAGAAGGAAATGGCAACCCACTCTGGTACTCTTGCCTGGAAAATCCCATGGACGGAGAAGCCTGGTGGGCTACAGTCCATGGGGTCGCAAAGAGTCAGACACGACTGAGCAACTTCATTTTCACTTTCAGTACTATTTTAATGCTTGACTACATGAATTTTCCAGCCAAAAAAATTCATATATATCCTGGTTCCTCCCCTAACTCTTCAGAGTAGTTCCTCAGAGCTACCAAGGGCTGTCTCCTAAGCCACAGTCCTTGTGATGCCCTGAATAAAATGTAACTCACAGCCTTCATGTCATGCATTTTTTTCTTCAGTCAGCAGTAGTCTTTCTCTGTAACTAATCATGGTGATGTGAGGATGGTTACACACCAGCAGCCCCGTGAGTTACCAGCACTTTTCTCTCCATGTTTTATTTGATCCCTGTTAATGCCCAGTGAGGCATGCAGAGATGATATTAATATCATTATTCCCAATGTTCATGGCCAATTGTGATGACTTATCCAAAGTCATAAGCTCATTAAGAGGTGGGTGTGGAACCAGAGGGCTTCCCAGGTGGCTAGTGGGTTAAGAACCCCCCTGCCAGTGCAGGAGACATAAGAGACACGTGTTTGACCCCTGGGTCAGGAAGATCCCTTGGAGGAGGGCATGGCAATCCACTCCAGTATTCTTGCCTGGAGAATCCCATGGACAGTGTAGTCCATAGGGTCACAAAGAGTCAGACATGACCGAAGTGACTGGGGCGGCAGGCAGCTGGAACCAGAATGAAGGCCTCCTGATCTTTATCCTGTGAGGTTTTAACTATACCAAGCCACCCTTTCCCTCAGAGCCCAGAGGTCCAGGAACATCGTCCAGAGCTTTGAGGGTTTTTCCTGTGTCAGTAACTTCCCTGGGGCATTTGCATCAGGAAGATAGCGCAGTTTACAAATGTGGCCCATCTGGTTGGGGGTAGGGTGGGGTGGTAAACACACCACCAGGAAAACACAGAAGATGGAAACGGAGCTTGCCAAGCACCCTGCCTCTGGCTGGTGACTTCGTGTTGGAAGCACACTGGTTGACCACGTGTGCTTTCTCTTTGCCTGGTTTCATGCTGGCTGTGAATCCTGACTCTGGGGGCCTTGGCTCTTGGGCACCTTCCCTGGAATGAGGTCTCGTTTCCCCAGGAAAGTGGAGGGAGAGTGAGTCTGGCGGGCAGGTAGCCCCTGCATCCTTGAGGGACCAGGCTCATTGCTGGGAAGGGCCCAGCTGGTGAGGAAAACAAACCTGGAAGCCAGCTCAGCATCCTGGCCACGACTCCAGCTCACTGGCCTGGAGGGCGTGCTGCGCTGAGCAGCTGTGCTCAGCCCGGCTCCACACACACACACACAGGAAGAACCATCCTCCAATCAGACATGGGGTAGGGATGAGCCCTCCATCCCAGGTCCCCAGACTGGTGTCTCAAAGGTCTCCTCAGCACTGTAGCAATGTCCCCACAGACCATGTGAAGGAGGCTCGTGGGTGCAGTCGGCATTCAGATGGGGGACCCTCCTCAGAGGCTGTCTGGCATCCTCACCCAGGACTCTCCAGCCCAGGGCGGCTTCTCCATAGGTTTCCACCATCTGAATGTCAGAAGTGGGTGTGCACTGGTAAATTTAGTGTATCAGCAGAAAATAATTCACTGATCAGCAGATCAGTTATTAGAGATAATTTTCACTGAAGGAAGCAAAAGGCTCTGAAGGTATATGGATAGCTCACCCTCCACCACCTCTGCAAGAACAAAGTGTAAGCGTCTCATGAGGGAAGCATCCACACCATTGGTGATAGCTCCTGAAGTCTTATTTCTAAGCAGTTCTGTGCACAGCCCTGCAGTAGGACTCTGGTGCTTGATGGCAGAGGTGTCTGCCCTGCCTGCGCTGGCCAGCCCGGCCTGCAGAGGGTCGCTGGACTGTCTAGGGAGACAAAAGCCTGGGTCTGTACTGAGCATAAAGTACTGGAGGTCTGACTGTTCTGTATCTGCTTTCTGTGACTATTTGATTCATTCGTGCCTGGAAACATGGCTGGCTTTGGGTGGAGGCTTGTTGCATTATAAGCAGGCAGGGAAGTTGTGGCCAAGCGGCTAACTCTCACCCATCACAAAGTTTTCAGTGGTGATCACCAGGAATCTGAGAGTCATGCATGACCAGACTGGCTCATCTTAACAGACATGGACACACGGGTCCTCCAATGAGAGGTCAGCTTCCGGGCTGTGATGGCTGCGTGATGCAGCCCAGGCACTGGGCAGATGGGGAAGATGCTGGAAAGGCACTCAGTAGGTTGTTCTGGGCAAGGGTGACGCTTATTGAGTTTCAGCTTGCTGCCTGTTATGGGGTGAATTGCATCCCCCAAAAAGATGTTTGGATCCTAAATTCTGGCTCCTGTGGAGGTGAGGGTATTTGGAAATAGGGTCTTTGCAGGTGTGATCAAGCTGGGATGGGGTCGTACTGGAGTAGGGAGGGCCCTAAGCCAGTGGCAGGGGTCCCTGTAAAAGGAGGAAGGAACACATAGAGGCAGAGGGAAAGAGCACACAAGAGGATGGAGGCAGAGTGGAGTGGGGCATCTGAGTGGAGGAACCTCAAGGATGCTGACAGCCAGCTGGGAGAGGCAGGACAGTCCTCCTCTGGGGGCTTCAGAGAGTACAGTTCCACTCACACTTCGACTTCCCACCTCTGGCTTCCAGAACTGGGAGCGAATGGATATCTGTGGTTTTAAGCCACCCGATTGGTGATAGTTTTGAATGGCAGTCCTGGGAAACTAACACACTATCCAAACTCTTTCTATCAGAATGGAAAAACTCTTCATTTTGTTCAGTCACTAAGTCATGTCCAACTCTTTGTGACCCCGTGGACTGCAGCACTCCAGGCTTCCCTGTCTTTCACTATCTCTTGGAATTTGCTCAAACTCATGTCCATTGAGTCTATGATGCTATCCACCCATCTCATCCTCTGTCGCCCCTTTCTCCTCTTGCTCTCAATCTTTCCTGGCATCAAGATCTTTTCCAGTGAGTTGGCTCTTCTCATCAGGTGGCCAAAGTACTGGAGCTTCAGTTTCAGCATCAGCCCTTCCAATAAATATTCAGGGTGATTTCCTTTAGGATTGACTGGTTGGGTCTCCCTGCTATCCAAGGGACTCTCAAGAGTCTTCTCCAGCACCACAATTTGAAAGTATCAATTCTTTGGTGCTCAGCCTTCTTTGTGGACCAACTCATAGCCATACATGACTACTGGAAAAACCATAGCTTTGACTATGTGGACCTTTGTCGGCCAAGTGATGTCTCTGCTTTTTAATACCCTGTCGAGGTTTGTCATAACTTTTCTCCCAAGGACAATCTCTTGGCATTCTCCAAAGCCTGGCTGAACTGCCAGCCTCTTCTCAGTGCTGGGGAAGGGACCTATCAGCTCATGGAGTGTCTTACCCATCACCCCACCTGCCCCGAGGCTGCCCATCCTCACAGATGCTCAGAGGATGCAGAGAGGAACGCTGCTCTTACCTGTAGCGGGCGACACACAAGTGGACCTTCCCCGAGTACCTCTGCTTGGCGGTATTGGAATTCTGATCATTATCCATCTATTAAAGACAATGGATATACGGGTTATTGATGCCAAAGGCTTCACATTTCATGCTGGAAACACACAGGAAATCTCTTCCATGGTCCCCCCAGGGTTTTCGGCTTCACATGGTGGGGACTCTGCCCACCATGAGATGCTGCCACACCTGGGTTCTCAGTTTTGGGCATGACCCAGAGACAGGGCAGGCTCCTGGGTCACACAGAGGACATTTATAAAGGACTCATCTCCCCCAGTACTGTGAGATGTCACTTCTATGTGGAATCTAAGAAATAACACAAATGAAGGTATACGCAGAAAAGACAGACTCACAAACTTAGGTTACCAAAACAGGGGAGGGATAAATTAGGGGTGTGGGATTAACAGATACACCCTACTGTATAGAAAATAGATGAGCAGTAAGGATACACTGTATAGCACAGGGAATTAGAATCATTATCTTGAAATAATCTATACTGGAGTATAATCTACAACAATACTGTATCACCATGTTGTACACCTGAAACTAACTATGTGTGGTATATGCACACTAAGTCTTTACAACCCTATGGACTGTAGCCCGCCAGGCTCCTCTGTCCATGGGAATTCTCCAGGCAAGAATACTAGAGTGGTTGCCATGCCCTCCTTCAGGGGATCTTCCCGACCCAGGGATCGAACCCCTGTCTCTTACGTCTCCTGCATCTGCAAGTGGGGTCTTTACCACTATTACCACCAATATAATATTGTAAATCAAATATATGTCAATATAAACAAACACACACACAAAAAAAACAAAGAACCACTTAAAAAAAGACCTCGTATCCTCTCACCGAGTGGTGAGCACTGTGATTTAAGGCCTGAGACGGTCACTGCCCCAGAGCCTGCCAGGCTCCTTGGAGGACAAAGCTAGCCCAAGCCCTGTGTCCTCAGCCCTTGAGGACTCCATACAGGGAAGGGAGTGCTCACACATGGATGGCGCCTGGTGCCCCCAGGAATCCTGCATGGAGGAGGCGACATGGCGCTCCTTTCTCCCGGTCCCCCTCCTCCTGCCCTACTCTTCTCTGCCTAAGGGGGCTAAAACCATCTTGGGGTTGGGGGAGGGTAGGACAGGGCCCCAGGCTGGAGGAGGGGGTGGTTTTTCCCCCAGGGGAGGGTGGGAGTGACTGTGACTTGCCATGTGTAGCCCCCTCCCCTCCCCCCCGCCCCAGGAGAAAAAGGACCGGGACTCCTGCCTGCTCCCCACAACACACTCCCACCCTTCCCCCTCTGCAGTGGGCTCCCCAGTAGTTAGGCCACGTCACTCCAGTCTCAGGGCCTTTCAGTGACTTCCCCCTGGACTGAGCCAAAATTTGAGACCTTGCTTGAGGTTTTCAACTCGCCTCCCACACCACCCCAGCCCCACAGCTCCTCTCTGGCCCAGTGAGCTTCACCTGGATTCCTGCTCATAGATGGACAGACCACAGATGGCCCATGGCCAGTCTGAGAAGGGCTGCCCTGTCCTCTGCATCGTCCCTGCTTGTTGGGGTTCAGGACATTCACTGTTAGCCGACTTTTGGATGTTGACTTGTTTATGGTCATTCTGCCCATGAGAGCAGGGGCTCCCTTGTCTGCAAATTGGGCCCTCACATCCTGGCATAGAATAGGTGGTCAGTAAAGATGGCTTAATGGGGGTGAAGGCAGGAGGAAGAGGAGAAGGAGGGAACTAGGGAGAGAGGGTGGGAGGGCCACCAACAGCCACAGCCCACATCATGGGTAGCAGGGCAGCGGGCCAAGGCCAGGACAGGACTCACGTCTGATTCAAATCTGCATCTTGGGCCACTGGATCTTGACAGGAAGGTGGGCTTGACGGACAGAGGTTCCGGCTTGTCACCCGGGAGCGGGAGGGGCCGGATATATTCACCGACCACAGTGCGGCTTCCAAGGGCGCTCTCCTGACCTGGACACCAACATTGGAATGATTTGAAAGAAGGCCCAAAGGAAATAACCAAAGCACGCTGGACATTTGCCTTCCCCGTGGGTCTTTCCTGTCTTTCACATCAGCCTTTGAGTTTCATTTCAGAACCCACCCATCTCCCACTCTTCATCTACACCCTCTGCTCTAGGCCTTCCATCTGGCAGAGTCCATTCCTGGCTACACTGATTGTTTGGTGGAGATGGTGTGGCACGCAAGATGGGAAGGTCCCATCAGAGAGACCTTCGTGGGAGTCATGGGCAAAGAGGCTCTCCTTTTCCCCAGCTTAAAACAGAAAGGAAGTGAGATTTCATAGGACGGCAGCCACATTGTCCCCAGGACGAGGAAACTCCATTTGAGAATGGAGCCTGCTCATAGAAGGAGGAGCTGAAAGATGGAGAGGCAGGAATCAGGTCCAGACGGCACAGTTGGAGCCCTTGAATCCAGCTGTGTGTTCATACGCTAAGTTGTGTCCGACTATTTGCAACCCCAAGGATTGCACCACGCCAGGCTTCCCGGTCCTTCAGTATCTCTGGGAGTTTGCTCAAATTCATCTCCATTGGGTCGGTGATGCTGTCTAACCATTGCAGCTGTACCTGAAGCTAAGCCATCTGCATCTACTCTACATGATAAATAAATTCCTTTTTGCTCACACTAGTGTATGTCAGCTTTCCTGTCACTTATTATTAATAATACAACCTGAACACTCCTGACATATACAAAGTGGCCAAATGGTCAGGTTTATGGCTAAAAAATACTTTTGACGAAAGAGATTCACTAGGACCAAGCAGATCTCTGCCCATCCTGTCCTCGTGGGGTTGCTGGGCCCTGACCTAGGCACAGTGCGGGGAAGTGGGGCAGGCAGGGGAGAATCGAGTCCCTTGACCAGTGCTGGCCCAAACTGTCAGATTAAAGTCAGGCGTGTATTTTTAGGATCAGACATGAATTACAAAAATACCTTTTATCCCCTCCCTGAGTTCTCGTGGCCCAGTGGACTGCAGACACCCTTCCCTGGCTTTGTCTAGCCTCTGGCTGTGGCTCTCCCATTATGGGGACTGCCTCACAGAGGAAGATGACTCACTGAGCCCAAATCAGGAGAAACAAACACTGTTAGAAGTGTTCCCACAAAGGCTGCATGGAAGTCACCCCCTCAGTCCCAGTCTGATTAACAAAAAGTTTGATGATTGCAGCAGAGACTTGATGCTGAAATAGACCCCAGGCCCTGCAAGGAGGCCACATCCCAGGGAGCAGCAGCCTGGCCCTGGTCACTGCCCAGGATCCCTACTGCCCACAGCAGCGCTCGGCATTCAGCAGGTTCAATGAATCGGCTCTCAAATCCTACAGCCTCAGGAAGTCAGCTGAGGACGGGCCTGGTGCTTCAGTGCCACGGTGGAAGGGTGTCACTCTGACATGGGACTCATCCAAGTCAACGACCTGTGAGTGGAAGTGACGTGTCCTACTTTGGGGTGGAAGCCTTTTTGAGCCAGTGTCTAATTTGTTACGCTTCTTTTCCCCTGAGATGGAACATAACAGACAGAGGAGGCTCAGCATTCCTGAGTGAAGACAGTATGGAACCCATTCCCTGAGCCAATCTGAGGTGGATGTGGAGCAGGATCAAAAGAAAGAGAGAAACTTGTGCTGTTTTAAGCCCCTGAGATTTGAGGATGTTTGTTACTGCAGCTGAACCTAGCCTGTATACCTTTTATCCCCTCCCTGAGTTCTCGTGGCCCAGTGGACTGCAGACACCCTTCCCTGGCTTTGTCTAGCCTCTGGCTGTGGCTCTCCCATTATGGGGACTGCCTCACAGAGGAAGATGACTCACTGAGCCCAAATCAGGAGAAACAAACACTGTTAGAAGTGTTCCCACAAAGGCTGCATGGAAGTCACCCCCTCAGTCCCAGTCTGATTAACAAAAAGTTTGATGATTGCAGCGGAGACTTGATGCTGAAATAGACCCCAGGCCCTGCAAGGAGGCCACATCCCAGGGAGCAGCAGCCTGGCCCTGGTCACTGCCCAGGATCCCTACTGCCCACAGCAGCGCTCGGCATTCAGCAGGTTCAATGAATCGGTTCTCAAATCCTACAGCCTCAGGAAGTCAGCTGAGGACGGGCCTGGTGCTTCAGTGCCACGGTGGAAGGGTGTCACTCTGATATGGGACTCATCCAGGTCAACGACCTGTGAGTGGAAGTGACGTGTCCTACTTTGGGGTGGAAGCCTTTTTGAGCCAGTGTCTAATTTGTTACGCTTCTTTTCCCCTGAGATGGAACATTCCAGACAGAGGAGGCTCAGCATTCCTGAGTGAAGACAGTATGGAACCCATTCCCTGATCCAATCTGAGGTGGATGTGGAGCAGGATCAAAAGAAAGAGAGAAACTTGTGCTGTTTTAAGCCCCTGAGATTTGAGGATGTTTGTTACTGCAGCTGAACCTAGCCTGTACTGACTGATACACTGCAGCCAGGAGTAGCAGGGGGTGACACCACCAGAAAAGGTGAAATGACTAGAGTCGCCTCCTGTTTACATTTTACTTAAACAAATCCAGTTCTCTAGAGAAAAATCATCTGATGCCTGTGGCATGTTTTACCTTCCCTTCTGCTCTTTGAGTGAATGTGAGATTAGACCCAAAATCATGTCATGCCCTCAGCTGCACATTCCTTTGTGATCTGCATGCCTCAGGATACCTTTTTTTATTTTGGAAAATATGGCCACTGAGCCCAAAACAATGACTTTTATCTGGTGTTTCACCAAAACTCAGCTCCAATACTGGAAGGAAACTGGCGATGGAGGGGTAGCCCTGGGAGATGACACGCCCGCTTCCTAGTAGATGTCCAGGGATAATTCTATTCCTATGTGGTCCCCGCCCTTACTGGTGGCAGGTGTGACTCTACTGCACAGAAGGTGAGCCCTGACCCCACCAGGGGCTCACAATCAAGTGGTCCTTGTCCTCCTCAACCTCAGGCTGATCCCGCCTCAGGCAGGAGGCCCCCGACAGGATGTGCCGCACATCTGCCTGGTCCTGCTCTGATTCTCCACTGGCCCTGCCCATTCCTTCCATCTCCCGCCCTCCCCTCCGGCATAAGGACAGGCCAGCCCAGCAGGGAGTTTCCTCATTTAGTGGCCTCTGCCATCTGCCAACAAAGAATGACCTTGAGGAGGACTTCAGGGTTGCACGAGGAAGTCCCCTTGCAGGCATTCTGCCCATGGCCAGTGATGCCAGCTTAGCAAGGATGCTCTAAGGATGCTGCCAAGTATGCCCAGCTAAGGAGCTCTTCCAAATGGCTAAACAGAAGCCTTGATGCAAACCTACTCTTGTACCAGGATTTAGAACTCCCTTAATAACACAGCCCTGTTTTGGTTTTGCTTGTTTTGTTCTTAGTCAGCATCCATTTTCCTCCATCACAAATCAGATTGGTTTTTCCAGATCAATCTGGACACCGAATGACTCAGGTCAATCACTGCTCCACCTCCAGTGACCCATGAGCTTGCCCTGGATCTTGCCCTGGACTAACATGCTCTCATGCTGTGCAGAAAGGAATTCACATGGAGGGAAGCCTGGGGCTGCTACTTTAAGAAGGGTCTGCTGACAAGTCAGGCTGCGCCATGACCAGGAACACAGCTTCTAAACCTTTCCCTACACCAGTGGGACAGGCTCCCTAGGCGACAGGGGCATTTCCCTGTAACTAGAATGTGGGCCCAACCTGATTTGTGCTGAGCGCCTGCCTAGCTCAGGCAGTCTGGAATTCTGGTGTGTGCTGGGCAGAGGTGCCCACATCACCAGTGCCCAACAGATCCTGTATGCTGTATCTATTCGGTGTCCTTGGAAATCATCACTGCATGCATATAGCTGCATTTTTTTTTTTTTTTTTTTGGCTGCATAGTGGGCACTCCAGGTGGTCTTCCTGGAGGAGGAGGACATAGGATGCCTGCACATGGATTCTTCAGACGCCCCATCTCTTTCCCTCAGGACCCACTCTGTGCTCGTCCTGTGTTTCTGTAACAGGTCTGAGCCAGGAGGACAACTCTGTGCTGAGTCCTGGACTCATCGACCATGCTGGGGACCTGGGGACCCTGAAAATTGCGTGTGTGAGCCCTGAGCCACAAACCTTCCCACCCAGTGGGGATTGGAGAAGTTTCATGCTCAGGACTCGTGGCTCAAACTTCATTTCCAGGAGGCAGTCTTCTCTGGTCATCCCAAATGGCCCTGGGTCACTTGCTCTCTTGTCACCTGACCGCTCTTGTCTGTGTCTGTCTGAGCGAGCAGCTCCCTACTCACTCATCTGTCCCCCTGTGTCTTGTCTGTGTCCCCCTGCCTAGAGGGGCTCCACATAGGGCCTGCCATCTGCCCAGCATCGCAGCCTCGGTACCTGAACACGGCCGGGGAAGTACCCTGTGCTCAGAACTTGGTGGTGGTGGTGGGGGGTGTCCAGACCTCCCTCTCCCCGTCTTGGGTTTCATGGCCTCTCTGCATTCTCCCAACACATGCGCGGGACGGAAAGGGAGCGGGAAGGAGGGATAAGCCAAGAAACATTGTTCATCAAGATAAATGCTGCAGCACCTCATTTTAATAAGAAAAAGCACCCAGAAGAACTCATCCTATGTTCTGACAAAAACTGGGAGAAATCTGGAAATTCCCTCCCTTTTGCGGAATTCTAAAGTGGGGTTCTGGCACTCATGTCCCCTAAAATAAAAAAAAAAATCAACTGCTTTACAGAAGACAACTGGGCCTGTGACCTGTTTAACCTTCAGTGGAGAGAAAGTTCCCTGACCGAGCAGGGTACTTCATTGTCTACCCTGGGAACTTCCCCTGAGGTTACATTAAATGCTTCCGCGATCAAGAAGTGATCCCTCAGAACCACACAGAGTGAAGTCTCCCCGCTCTCCACTCTGCTTCCTGAACACAAAAGTGACGGGAATGCATTAACATTCACCGCGGTACTACTGTTGCCTTTGTTGGAACAGAAGTTCCAAGTACATCACAATGTCATCAAGAGGTCGCTGGATGAGAAGGGAAACAGGCGAAGTTGAGAAGCCCGCCTGGCAGATCCCAGTGCAGAGCCCAGAGCCAGATCCCCGGGTCCAAGGCCCAGCTTGCTGCTTGGCTGGGTGATCCTCCAGGCACCTTGGCCAGTGTCAGATGCAGAACAGGGCTCAGAGCAGGTGGGAGGGAGGTTACGCTGATTCACACCCATTAAGGGTGGTGCATCGAGTACACATGGGAAACGCTGGCCGCCCTTGTACCATCCCAAGTCCTGCTATGCTGGCCGCGCCCTCGGTGTTGTGAGAGGCTCTGTCACACACCCCTGGCTGTGCCCAGCTGTTCCCAGCTTGCTGGCTGCACCTTCTTCTCCATCAGGGAGGGAGGGAGGAAGTGAGGGAGGCACTTACCTTTTCCAATGGAGGGAGCCAGTCCGTTCATGAATCTTGGGAAAGACTTGCTGGGGGACGAGGGAACATCCAGGGAGGCCACGGGGCTGCTGCCCAGCAGGTCGATCTTGCCGGCGTGCTGGCGAAATTGCTCCAGATCCCGGGACAGCAGGCTGAACTGCTCACTCTGTGTCCGGCATTTCTCCTCCAGCTCCCGCACCTTGCACTGTGCGCAGAGACCCAGACACACAGTTAGCAGGTGGCCTGGGCTCCTGGGGCCTCATGTGTCTGCGCCCAAGTGTGTGTCTGTGTGTGTCTGCACGTTGCATGTGTGTGCACAAGACTGAGTGTTGTGTGTGCATGTGTGGATGACAGTGTGTGTGTGTGCACGTGAAAGTGTATGGCCTGAGTGTGTTTGCACACATGTGTGCATGTGTGTGGTGGTGGGGGGGTGGCCTGCCTCCTGCCTCCACGTGAGAACAGTGGCTGAGCAGATCAAGCTTCCTGTCGATTGGAAGGTTGGCCGTCGGCCAGGTTCTCTCGCAGGGCAAACGTGGGAAAGCACAGGTGCCAAGAAACCCTGCAAACACTCAGATCCCAGCCAACTGCGGATTGTTCTGGGCTCTGTGTGCAGCCCGGGCACTTTGTGGTTGGCACGCCTCACTGTAGCTGCTTGAAATTTGGAGCAGGAGATGGTGAGAGCCCAGCTTTGGGGACGGCTCAGTTGCTAACTCCACTGATGCAGTTTTCTGGTGGAGGCCTCTGCCCCTAAACTGCAGAACCCCAGCGCACCCTGTTTTAGCATTAAAAGGAATTGCTACCTGCTGGCTTGGGTTAGCAACATCACTGCCATCTGCAGACACCAGGGACATTTAGGGAGGTGGGAGCGTCCCTGGGTACACATGGCAGGGAGGGTACCACAGGCAGCACCCCCATGCACTCCCATCTTTGCCTGCTCTTGGTTCTCAGTTGGGTGGGCGTGAGCCCGCCATACTCCCCTTCCTGGGGAACAGAGATCCACACTCCCTACACTTCCTTTCCTGCTGCTCCCTTCGTGGCACCCTCCCCCCACCATTCTAGTAGCTCCCTGATTATTCTTATTTCTCCTCTCTCTCTTAGATCATTTAATTGCCAAGCTTGTGCTTTATGGTCCCCTGACACATTCTCAATGCTTTGCATAATACTGGCACATCCTAGGTGCTCAATAAACATTTGCTGAAGTGATGAAGAGAGAGGACCCTCTGATTTGGAGGCATCACACTCCTCGTGGCAGTGGCCTGTTCCATCTGTGTGGTGGTCCTGCCTCGTCTCCCTTCCTTTGTGATAAATGGACAATGCCATCTGCTGTATTATTAACTAAGTGCATCGTCTGACTTTCTCCACTAAAATGTCAGCTCGTGAGGGCAGGAATTTCTGTCTCCTTTCCCACTGTGTCCCCAGCACTCAGACTAGAGCTTGGTACCAAGTTGGGGCTTGAGAGATGTCTGGATTCATGTAGGTGAACAGACAAGGACGTGGACGGTGGTAGAATAATGCTGTCTTCCTCCTCCTCCTCCCTACACCCCCTTCTCCCTCTCCCCCTCCACCTGTATTAAGCTTTCAGCTCCTTAGGCCAGAGTGAAGTGCTATTTATGTCTGAGATCACGGAATTCTGAAAATAGATCTAACAAATCCCAAACCTATAATTAATTTCTTTGATTCATTAAAATAATTGGCAAGATTCTTTTAAAAGGCTGAATGAGCCTGGGTGTGATGGCTGTCTCCACCGAGGACGGCACAGAAGAGACACTGGGCTCCCCTGGGCACAGGTGTGGACTTGAAGCAATCTGCCCCCTGCCTGGGTCCCCCATCACAAAGATGCAGGACCTGCCAGGAAGCAGCTCTGACTCCAGGATAGCAATTTCAGAAGCCTCAAGGCCAAGAGCTCTGGTTCTTCTGGGCTCAGTCCTGAAGAAGAGACTTTTGCTCCAAGGCTGAGCTTTTGCTCCAAGGTCCTCAGGTGGGGGAAAGCAGCTGCCAACAGCCTCGAATTAAAAGGGCACTAGAAGAGCCCTGAGATCACCTGTCCATCCAGGTGTGCCACCAGCTGCCATGGTAGTGTATGTGTGGGGGGTGGGGGTTGGGGCTGTGTGAAGTGATGGTAGAAGGATACAACACTATTTAAGTGGCCACATTCTCATTTTAATGTGGATGAGAAAAATGCAACTAGCACCCTGTTTTAGCATTAAAAGGAATTGCTACCTGCTGGCTTGGGTTAGCAACATCACTGCCATCTGCAGACACCAGGGACATTTAGGGAGGTGGGAGCGTCCCTGGGTACACATGGCAGGGAGGGTACCACAGGCAGCACCCCCATGCACCCCCATCTTTGCCTGCTCCTGGTTCTCAGTTGGGTGGGCGTGAGCCCGCCATACTCCCCTTCCTGGGGAACAGAGATCCACACTCCCTACACTTCCTTTCCTGCTGCTCCCTTCGTGGCACCCTCCCCCCACCATTCTAGTAGCTCCCTGATTATTCTTATTTCTCCTCTCTCTCTTAGATCATTTAATTGCCAAGCTTGTGCTTTCTGGTCCCCTGACACATTCTCAATGCTTTGCATAATACTGGCACATCCTAGGTGCTCAATAAACATTTGCTGAAGTGATGAAGAGAGAGGACCCTCTGATTTGGAGGCATCACACTCCTCGTGGCAGTGGCCTGTTCCATCTGTGTGGTGGTCCTGCCTCGTCTCCCTTCCTTTGTGATAAATGGACAATGCCATCTGCTGTATTATTAACTAAGTGCATCGTCTGACTTTCTCCACTAAAATGTCAGCTCGTGAGGGCAGGAATTTCTGTCTCCTTTCCCACTGTGTCCCCAGCACTCAGACTAGAGCTTGGTACCAAGTTGGGGCTTGAGAGATGTCTGGATTCATGTAGGTGAACAGACAAGGACGTGGACGGTGGTAGAATAATGCTGTCTTCCTCCTCCTCCTCCCTACACCCCCTTCTCCCTCTCCCCCTCCACCTGTATTAAGCTTTCAGCTCCTTAGGCCAGAGTGAAGTGCTATTTATGTCTGAGATCACGGAATTCTGAAAATAGATCTAACAAATCCCAAACCTATAATTAATTTCTTTGATTCATTAAAATAATTGGCAAGATTCTTTTAAAAGGCTGAATGAGCCTGGGTGTGATGGCTGTCTCCACCGAGGACGGCACAGAAGAGACACTGGGCTCCCCTGGGCACAGGTGTGGACTTGAAGCAATCTGCCCCCTGCCTGGGTCCCCCATCACAAAGATGCAGGACCTGCCAGGAAGCAGCTCTGACTCCGGGATAGCAATTTCAGAAGCCTCAAGGCCAAGAGCTCTGGTTCTTCTGGGCTCAGTCCTGAAGAAGAGACTTTTGCTCCAAGGCTGAGCTTTTGCTCCAAGGTCCTCAGGTGGGGAAAAGCAGCAGCCAACAGCCTCGAATTAAAAGGGCACTAGAAGAGCCCTGAGATCACCTGTCCATCCAGGTGTGCCACCAGCTGCCATGGTAGTGTATGTGTGGGGGGTGGGGGTTGGGGCTGTGTGAAGTGATGGTAGAAGGATACAACACTATTTAAGTGGCCACATTCTCATTTTAATGTGCATGAGAAAAATGCAACTGGCCATAAAATCCTTCATGTGTATGTCCTCTGTGTGTATGTAAAAATGACCTAACTCAAAAAACAGATTTTTCATTGATGCAACTTTTACGAAATAATAAAATTAAAGTGATGGAGAGCTGATCAGTGGTTGTCAGGGTCTGGAGTTGGGGGAAGGGTCTGACTTTTAAGAAGTAACATTTCCCTGGTTATCCAGTGGATAAGAATCCACTGGCCAATACAGAGGACACGGGTTCAACCCCTAGTCCAGGAGGATTCCACATGCTGTGGAGCAACTAAGCCTGTGAGCCACAATCTTTGAGCCTGTGCTCTAGAGTCCAGGATCTACAATAAAAGAAATCACCATAATGAGAGGCCTGTGCACAACAACAAAGAGTAGCCCCCACTCACCACAACCAGAGAAAGCCTGCACACAGGGCAACCACACACACACACAAAAAAAAAAGGAACATGAGGGTGTGACTTTGGGGGAGGGGTGGAGCCATCTGTACTCCTGATGGTGGTATGTGACTCTATATGCACCATCAAATCCCATGGAATTTATCACCAGAGGAAGAACAAAGAGTGACTATTTGTAGTTCGGCTACTGACACTGTGCCCACATCTACTGCCCGGTCTCAACTGCTCCAGTCACCTACGATGCTATCCATGGGGAGCTGGGTGAAGTTATGCAGCAACCATCTGTGCTATCTTTGTAGCTTCTTGTGACTCTCAAATTATTTCAAAATAGAATTTTAGAAAGTGCACAGATTTAAAGAAAATATGAAATAACTGTGTAGGTGGCAAGCAGATACAGAGAAAATCTTGAAGGCGGTGGATGAGTAGCTGGTGTGTGGGGACATCAGATTAGGGGCCTGGAGGGTTAAGAGCAGCCAAGGTCTCAGGAGCCCACACAGGGGTCAGGCATTGGAGGCACCTGGAAACAGAGCCCAGGGCAGGAGCTGATACCGAGCAGGGCCCTGTGGGGCTCCTGGACACAAAGGAGCCGTGTCCCCTGTTTCTTTGATTTATAGGAAATAATCTTCATTCAGCCTCCATGACCTTCCCTGAGTTCCAAGAGGCAGATTCCAATAGTTGTTAATTAGGGAAGGGAGGGAGAAACAGTCAAGAGAAACAATAGTGCAGCCTTGGGGCAGGGTCCTGGTTCCCCATCAATGGATACACACAATATCTTTGAGCTTTTTTGCAGATAATGAACTCCCACTCTTCTCAGTTTCCATGGGCGCTGGTGGAGGAGGTTCCCAAGAGGGCAGAGAAGGACGAAGTGCTGCTTCTGCCTGCCCGTCAACAAGCGCTTTGTAACACACATCTGCACAGGTATGACAGTGTGGTCTGAGACTTGCTTCCATGGTGACCTGGTGGTAAAGTTGTAAGGCTAACCCCCTCTCACCTCACATTTCTACCCCAAAGATTCTAAGAGTCCTGTGTGATCACACCTAAGTGTTTATCCCTCTTTTCAGTTCCTCGCTTTGTTTCTCCTCTAGGTATCTGAGGACATGGCTTCAAGGCAACAAGGATGCTGGTTCCTAGAAGTCAGGCAGCTGCCAGATGCCTTTTCTCACTAATTTCAGGGGGAGAAGGTCCGAATGGCTAGTAGATG